GTGTCCCTGTGCCACCACCAAGGGGCCGCTCTCCTGCTTGGGGTGGGACTGCTGCAGGTCCTGGGTCCCTGGGTAGGTGGCAGCTTTTCCGTTGGGCAATGAGCAGAGGATTTGCTTCTGCCGTGCTTGGAAAGGGGCAGATGAACGGGAGGAGACACAGGGTTTTAGGCAGAGGGGCCTGTGATGGTGGAGTGCTTCCTCCATGCACGTCACAGCTTTCATCCCAGCATCAGCAGGGATTGGTGGGCAGCTCAGGCGAACAGTGGGGACCTTCTCTGTCCCTGTCTGCTGATGGCACAATCCCAGATATGAGGCCACTTGGAGAACAGGAACACAGAACAGATTTAATCAGCTTACGGTATCTGGCTGTGCCCACACCTCTGTCCGTGCTTCCTGTTTGCTGTTACCCCCCTTTCTTATCAGGATCCTTTCTTGTCTGAGTGACAGGGCCGTTGGTGTTGACATCAGACCTCACCCAGGACGAAGGGTAACAGGGTGGAGGTATTGCTGCCTCAGAAATGTCCATGTCTCCTTAGACATTATCTTGATTCTTAGACAGTGCATGTTCAAAGAGCTGGTCTCCAGGGCCACAGACCCAATTCCTGCTGTATGGCTGCTGCTGAAACCCGGTGGGCCTTGCCGGAGGGTGCTGAGGGCTCTCTGACCATAGCCTGGCTGGGTGCAAGGTTCAGGTACTACATTATTTAACGCAGACAAAGAAGCACAGCTTTTGCAGGGGAGAGCTTCCTCATCCCAGCTGTTGTACACTCTCCCCGAGGGTTGGGAGCTGCCTGTCTCTGCAGCAGCAGTTGCTTCTCCACCCAGGTCTGGATTGTTGTTTGCAGATACTGCTCCCTGCCACCTGGTCTGTCTGATGGTTGACCACTGCTCAGCCAGGAAACCATAAACACCTTTCCCAATGGCCAGCCCCAGCTCTCCAGCTCCCCAGTGGTGCAGGCACAGCCCCTTCACCTTCCCAGGGACTGTGAGCCTGGTGTTTGGGTCAGAAGTTTTCCATTGGATCAACAAGTTGGTCTGCCTTGCTGTCGTTCATCCTGTCCCTGTGTGTGACACAGGACAGTGTGTGGTGGCAGGACTGTGGCTGCTGCATGCGCAGGGTTTAATACAACCTGCCCCTGCTTTTTCTAGGTTTGTCTGTGTTTTACTTGTTAGCAGCTTGGGTAACCCCCTTGGGTAACTCTTGGGTGGTGTGGCAGTGCCTGGCTGCAGCTCTGTGCCTTGTATCCTGCCTTGTAGACCTGCAGGGTGCAAGGGGAAGGTTGGATGGGGCTTTTCCTCCAACCAAAACCAAATCCAAACCACTTCTCTTAACATTTCTATCAACTCTGATCTACAACCAAATAAAACCATTGTTTTCTAGCTCTGAAGAGGCATCAGCTTCACCTTCACCGGTCCTGTGTCAGCCCAATCTCCTGTGCCCCCAAAGAACCGGCTGCCTCTGCTCTTCCCAGACCTGGGCTGGGTGTTTGCCCTCCTGGGCAGCCTGTGTTCCCAGTGTTCCCTCCCTGCTTGTCCTCTCACATGCCTGTGGCATGTGACATATTTACCAGGTTATTACTGGTCTTAACTGGAAGCTGACTGAAGTGATGTCAGTCCTAACCATACCCTGCCTGCAGCTGGATTGGAAATGCACTGGTGTATGGGGTGGGCTGTCTGTTGCAGCTCCAGTCCTGGGGATTTCCCAGTGTGAATATTTATGACTGTGATCTCCTCCTGTTAAGGACATGCATGTAATTGGTTCCTGCTGGGTTTGGATTTCATTCCCCTCCTCTCCCTGTGCACAGTGGTTGCAGAGCATCGTTGTGAGCTGTGAAATGCCCTTTGGGATGAGCACAGTGATCCCAAATAGGTGTGATTGCTGATCGCCATAGTGCAGGCCCACAGCAGGCATGGGTCCCTGCTTGGGGATGCGGGAGCAGCTCTGTGCAGCACTCTCCTATGCAGGCATGGGGGCTGCGGGCATGGTCCAGCCCACAGGGCCTGTTTTGGATCATCTTTGGGGTGTTGCAAAGCCCTGCTGTTGTGCACAGGGATGAGGTGGGTGCTCAGTTGGTGTGCTGGTGCTAACATCGTGTTCTTTTTTGTTTTTCAGACTGCTCTCAGTGCTTTTTTCCAAGAAACAAACATCCCCTACAGCCACCACCATCAGATGGTAAGTGATTTCCCACCTCTGCAGCATCCGCCCGAGGCAGAGCACCAGCTGGCCGGTGCTTCTGCCTGTTGCCGATGCCCAGCTCTGCCCAGCTCGCCGCTTCACAGCCCCAGTAGAGCAGGCAGGGAGGTCTGGCCAGCCAGAGCTGCCTGCCAAGGAGGGTTTTCCTGGAGAGCGAATAGGGGTGGCATAGCCTGTCCTACACAGTGGGACAGCATGGTTGGGGCTGCTCCTTGGGGGGGACGTCTCATGGAGGGTGCTTTGGGCATGGCCAATGGTCCAGTCCAGGCCCAACATGGCAGAGAGAGCCCAGGGGAGCCTGGAGCACTGCCCCCCTGTAAGGTGTGTAAACACACATGCAGATACATGCATGCTTCCCACTCTGCAGCCCAGATGCTCCTGAGTCCTCCTGTGCTTGCTGGAGCGACTGAGCTGGAGCAGGCCTCCAGCACAGTGTGTGCAGTGTGCTGATGTGTGTAAACAGAAGAGAGCGTGCATGCATGTGGGTGCTGCCTGCCAACTAATCCTAAACTTGGTCCCTTAACTCTCAGGACATGGCAGCCCATAATCTGTTTGGGCAGATCTGTCTTAGGGATTTGCTGGCTGCTGTGGTCTCATTTAACTCTCCAGGACAACTGGGGATATGGAGCATGCAGTAAGTGTGCAGAGCAAGTGCCTGATGGCCCTGAGTGTGCCCAGTCTCCCGTGAGGTGGCAGCTGAGCCAGAAAGCTGCAGGTCCAGGGTAGCACCAGTGAGCTGTGGAGTTGAGGGGTCCCTGCGTCAGTGCAGGAGGGGGGCAGGCAGCTCCGATCCGTGCCCTTTTGACAGGAGCTCTCACCACAGCATTAATAACTGCTGCTTGTGAGCAATGTTGTCAGCAGAGCACAGGCCCAGGGGCCCTCTGAGCCACAGCAGTGGGGGCAGAGGGGTCTTGCGCTGGGCCCTGATGGGAGGCAATGGTGGGGACTCCCTCATGCCTGATGCTGTGTCTCCTTCCTGCAGATGTGCACTCCTGCCAACACGCCGGCCACGCCGCCCAACTTCCCCGATGCCCTCACCATGTTCTCCCGCCTCAAGGCCTCCGAGAGCTTCAACAGCAGTAGCCCCGTGGCCTCCATGGCAACCTCCCCACCACCCCCAGCCCCACCTCTGCCCCAGCACGGGGCCTTCAACCCTGCCTGGCCCACGGCTTCGCCCCCCGGCCAGCAGCAGAGCATGTGGACTCCGGCCACCGCGGCGCAGCCCTCGGGCTGGCCAGCCGCCGTCTCGCAGCAGGCCACAGCAGAACAGAAGGCCAACGTGACCATGGAAGCAGAGAGATGAGGCCGCGGCGGAGAGCGAATGCGGCGGGGACCCCTGCATATAAATATCTATTTTCCCCCCCTCCCCGAAGAGGAGAGGAACTCTGCTGCCGGGCCTCTGGCAGCCACAGAGACACACGAGCAAATAGCTGCCTTGCATGGGTTTGGTTTGAAGTAGTTTTTACATGTCCTCGAGCTGAACAGAGCTCCCCAGAGACAGCAGGAGGCTGCGTGGGACACAGGACTGGTGCTGCCCTCTACCTGGGACCCTGCTGCCGCTGTGGGCTCAGGGAGAGAGTGCCCCCCCTCCTCTTTTGGGACACTGGAGTTTGCATGCGAGTGACGTTTACAGAGGAGGTCCCTTCTTCATAGTCCCCTGGGCCACCTCACTGGGCAGAGTGGATTGTGCCTGAGTGTTTCCCCCCATCCCTTGGCCCCACTCGAGCAGGCGGAGGGCAGACACAGACACCCCACACAACTTTTTGTAAGGGCTGGAGAGAGCAAGGGCTGCCCCTGTTCGGCTGCAGCCTTTGCCCCACATGCGCCGTGCTCGCTGGTGAGCAGGGCTGGGGGACACCAGCTCCTGGGGAGGCGTCTGGCCTCTCATCCAGCCCAGACAGTGCAGAGCAGGGGGTGACCCATGGTGGCCCGGCTGGGCCAGTGCATCCTCCCCTGCCCTCCTGGGATGGGGTTTGCCTGGGGCTGTTTGCATGACACAAGTGTAACCCTAGAGACTGGGATGTTTTTAACCCCTCTGTTCTTTTCTCCCAGTGGCTGGAAGTCCCTCTGGACACGCCGCAGCCGCTTGCAATACACGCTCTTCTGCTTTGAACCCTGTGTCCTTGCTTCGTTTGCAGCAGTAGTGGGATGCAGGGAAAGGCTAGCCTGGCCTTGGGATGTTTCAGGATCTCCTCTCTGAGTGGCTCTGTGCGTGCTGTGCCTCTGAGCTGGGGCTGGCTGCATTGTGCTGTGTGCTGCTCCACAGCCTGTCCCAGCCTGCAGTGACTGTCAGCCACCTTTGGCCAGTTGCATGCCAGTGCTCAGCCCCAGCAGAAGCCAGCCCAGATGTGCCCCACCACATCAGCTGTGGGTGCGAGACCCCACCAAGGAGTAGGGCTGGGCTGATGGCAGGGCTGCAGCGATAGCTCAGGTTCCCTGCGGGTCATCCACAGATCCTGGGTGTCTTGCTGTAACCTGGCTCTTATTCCGTGTATACTGGATGATGGGCCAAGTCCCATGGAGTTGCTCTCCCTGCTGAGCCCTGTCCCCATGAGGCTGCATCCCTGTGCTCACCAGTCAGTAATTAATTTCAATCTCTTATTTGTGTTGCTAAAATAAACACGGTAGGAGTGATGGTTTCACCTGGGCTGGAGCTGGTGCTGGCCCTTGTGAGCTTCCCTGAATGGGGCTGTGCTGCATCTGTGTGCCTCAGTGCTGTGGCTGGACCAGCGCCACCAGGAGCCGTAGGACTGGGCTTTGAGCAACCTGGTCTAGTGGAAAGTGTCCCTGTCTGTGGCATAGGGTTAGAACAGAACTAGATGAGCTTTAAGGTCTCTTCCAACTCAGACCGTTCTGTGACTCTAAAACCCAGGCCCAGACCATGCACTTGGACATCTGACTGATGAGAGAGAGCTCATGGGCATATAGCACAGCCCAAAAGCATCTGGCTGTGGTCACCGAGCCCAAGGAGGTCTCGTGCCCCCACTAGCCTAGGAACTGCACAGGAGAGGCAACGGAGGAGCCAGCATCTTTATGGTCTGCAGTATTACCCCATCCAAACAGCAGCTGCCAGGGCAGTGTGGCACTCACCCCAGCCATTCCCCGAGTCCCTGGTGTTGCCCATCCACTCCCCAGATCCCCATACAATTTCACAGCCCCTGGCCAGCTCAGATACCAGAAGTGCTGCCTCTGCCCATGGCAGTCTGCCGCCGGCCCCCCAGAGAGCTTGTCTTCATCTGCATGGCGGCACCTGCAAAGCAGAAAGCCTTGAATGGGGCATGACACCCCTGGGAGCCTCTCAGGGAGCATTCAGCAGCAGGCTGGGGCCATGTGGCCTTGGTGGCCCAGGGGACACACAGGAGGGGCACTCACGTGAGTATGGGGACACATAGTGGCTGCCATACTTGGGGATGTGGACCGTCTTCTCTGTGGTGTGCCGGGTGCGGGCTTGCGGGCTCTTTGTTGTTTCAAGGTGAGAAGCAGAGGCACTGTTAGCACAGGGAGATGAGTGGCTGCTGATGCTTTTGCCACAGAGCGGCACAGCACCATCCCAGGTGCTGACAGTGGGACATTCATGTGGCTGCACAGCCTGGCCAGAGCTCATGCGCTGTCCCAGGGCTGATCCCCTACGTGGGAAGTCCTTGCCCATGGTGGCAGTCCTGTTGGTACCCAGTGAGTTCAGCCTGCCCTTGTAGATGACCCCATTGGTGCCCAAAATATCCACTTCTCTCTAGGGGGAAGAGCAGCTGATGAGATCGGAGGTACCCTGAGGCTGTGCCCAGCCTGCAGCACTCCTGCCATGCCAGTACAGGTGGGCTCAGTGGGTTTCCAGAGAACAGGGACACGTGGATGAGTAGCTTACGTTATTGCAGATGAAGTCTGCTGGGTGACCGCAGGGACAGACGGTGATGAGGGAGGTGGAGGTGGAGAGTAGCCTGGCAGAACTTCCAGGGCCCTGGCTGGCCCTAGTCAGGAAGGGTAATGTAAGTGCTCCCTGCCCAGGGAGAGAAACCCCAAAGGGAGAAGGAGGGGACCAGTGGTGCCTGGCAAGCCTCACCTCTCCGGCAGCTGCTGTACCAGGCAGTTGGAGGTGCTGGCTGGCTGGGGCTGGAGGAACTGGCTCGTCTTTCGGATGGTCACCAAGGGCCTGCAGGTGAGGATATGAAGGCCAAGTCAGGCAGTGGTCTCTAGCGGACACACAAGTGGGGGTCTGTCCTGGGGGATGCACAGCACTCACGGTGCTGGGGCCATGGCCAGGAGTCCGTTGCAGGAGATGCACTTTGCTGGACCAGAGAGCTGCCTGCAACACAGGTACAGCTGTTAGTGCTCTGCCAGCAACCCAGGGATGGCGTGAGGTCCCATGGGTGGCCAGCACCCCTTGCCAGGGTGGGACACAGAGTGTCTGGATGAGACAGTAGCAGAGGATGGGACAGCATGGGAGGGGTTGGGGCAGTGCAGGAGACGGTGGAAGGGAACAAGGTGGGATGGGATGGAGTGGGATAGGAGGGGACGCAGCAGCCCTCACCTCTTGAAGCCAGCAGCACGGCCAGCATTGCAGGGTCCTTGGCAGAGGCATTGTTGGATGAGCCCTCTCACCTGCTCCAGCTGTTCCTGCAGGGGAGCCAGTGCCGCATGGTCCAGCTGCAGGGAGGGCAGGGGAGCTCGTTAGAACACAAGACCTATTTCTAGGGATGTTGCTGCCCCTGAGGGACACTGGGGACACACTGGGACACAGGATCAACCATGACGCAAGGATTATAATTTACTGGTGTTGGTAGATTGACAGCTCACCCTCCCCACACAGGGATGTGCTCCCTGGCCTCATGCATCCTTCTATGCCTACCACCCTCTGGGTGACACTTCTACCTTGGAGTCCATCTCATTAAGGAGCTTCTCTAGGGCATTCTGTGTGTCCTGGTCCATCTGGGACATCCTGTGAAGTAGGTTCTGCATCATCTCACTCAGCTGGACCATGGCATGTTGCAGCTCCTCCTGGTTCGCTTTGGTCTTCAGTGCAGCCTTTTCTGCTTTCTGAGGAGGGCATGGTGACAGCAATCCCCTGTGCACCCCCAGCCCTGCCACCATCCCTGCATGCCTTTGCTTACTCACAACACCCAAGCCCTGCTCCAGCAGCACCATTCTCATGGCTGGGTGATCCACCACCAACTACCACATGCCCCCAGCCACCCACTGAGTGCTCACCTGGGTGTCCTCGTTGTCACCCCACAGCTGCTCCGCAGCTTCCTGCAGCCTTGTGCATTGCTTCTGCAGTTGTCTCACCTGGCCCAGCATCTCCCTGCCAAAATCCAGGCCCTGGGGAGGACAAATGTGGCCCTCAGTGAGAAACAGGGTGGATACAGGACCTGGGTCAGGTAAGGATGCTTATGGGAGGCCCCAGTGAGTGGCTAGTGAAGGCATCCTGAAAGATACCCCAGTCTGTCCCTGGCAAGCAGAGTGTGGGGCTGCAGCTCCCAGGTCCTCAGGCACTGTGTCCCCACCCCAGGCTGGGCAGCTGAGCACCTTGTCTGCTCCATCCTGATGGTGTTTTATCTCACTCAGCACCTTTTCCAGTCAGACAGCAATGTCCTCCAAGGTCATTGACTCTGCTGAAAACAGATACCAAAGCTTTGCTCCTAGCAGTGCTGGCTCCTGCAGGCCCCCAGCACACCACCATCTCAAACCTAAGGTTGTTTAATGGCTGTGGAGTCCCTCCAACACTGTTGCCAGGACCCACATTTGGCCAGCACTAGGATGTCATAGGCTGGTTCCCACCAGCCATGCCAGTGTGGCTGGGAGCAAGGCAGAGGGATGGGGGGCTGCAGTGGTTTGGGAACCCAGATGGGATGGCTGAGTATGGTGCTGCCGTCCACCAGTGCTGGCAAAGGTCTGGCTGCACAACCCAGAATGGTGGCCCAGCATGGTGGGGATGTCAGTGCGCACCACGTTGCTGGAGCTGGCTCTCATGGTGACTGACAGGGGTTTTCACAGTCTCATGCTGTTCCAGCATCCAGCTGAGCCTGCATGAGGCTTCTTGGCCCAGCTCCTGTGAGGCTTCAGGACTGAGCTCCCAGCTGGAGGGCTTCTGAAATGAAACAGCCCCTGAGGTTTAGGGGAGAGAGAAGAGCCCCATGCCATTCCAGAGCCAAGGAACGCTGCCAGCCCTCAATAAAGGAGCTTGGCACCTGGGAATCGACACGCACCTCACCAGTGGGCATTCTGTGGAGAGAGTTCCAGCACAGCTCCTGACGCACCTCCACCTGCAAACAGATAAATCAGCTTTTCACCCTGCTCTGGGAGCAGAGAGCCTGGACAGCCCCTGGGATGGGGAGGCAGATTCCAAACCCTGCCACCACCCCCAGTGCCATCCCATCTCCAGCACTGCATGCCTCCCAGGGCCTCAATCTAGAAGGTTAAATCCTCCTGGCACTGCAGGAGGGACAAAAACAGTGTAGGTGACCAGGATACCAGGGCACCAGCAGATGGGTGTCTGTGCTCTGGTGGGAAGATGACACAGACACTGCCAGAAGAACCTTTGTGGGGCCAGATGTTTGCCCAGGCAGGTTGCAGCAGCCAGGGAAGCCTTTGGGAGGCTTGAGGGCATTTCCCATGAGGATTTGTGAAAGCCTGGCCCTGGACAGCCTGGGGACAGTCCCAGGGTCTGGGTGCTGAGTCTCTGCACATAGTGCCAAAGATGCTTGCTCCCAGCCCATCTGCCAGGGCTCCCCCCACTCACCAGTTGGTCCAGGATGCTCTGCAGGATGTGGCTGTACTCATCCTGCTGCACTGACACCTCTTGCATCTCTTCCAGACCAGCCTGTTAACAGAGGCATCACGGGTTCAGCATCTCCAAGGGCTGGGAATGGTGAGAATCAGCCATCAGCAGTGACAGGCAGGGACCAGCAGTGCCCAGCCGTGGCTTTGGGCAGTGTCTATCTGAAACCCCTGGGCCCCAGGGCAGATCCCCCATCTCCCGGCTTGGCCTCGGGATGGGAGGGAGCTCAAGCTCCAGACCTCATCCATGTCACTCTGTGCACCCTCACCATGCGTGCAGGTGCCCAGGGAGCCCAACCACTCTGCTGAGAGCCCTTCAGCAACTGTCCCAGCTCTGTGCATACACCTTGTGGAAATTGTTCTTCAGGAGATGTAGCTCTTCCTCGAAGCCCTTGAAGGTGGTTTTCAGGGAGCAGATGGAGGTGAGCACATCTTGCAGCATGTCCATTACCTGGGAAACACAGGTTTGGTGTCCTGGGTTTAGCAGTGGCAGTCATTTTTCTCTTTCTTGGTAGCTGGTGCAGTGCTGTGTTTTGACTTTCGGGCTGGGAACAGAGCTGAAAACAATGATGTTTTGGTTTGGCCAAGGACTTTGTGGGCCTCATGCTCTGCCAGGGAGGAGGGAAGCCGGGAGGAAGCAGAGACAGGACACCTGACCCAAACTGACCAAAGAGGTATTCCATACCACAGCACGTCATGCCCAGGAGGTAACTGGGAGTTACCCAGAAGGGCTAGGGGGACTTCAGGGTTGGAGGAGGTATCGGTCGGTGCTTGGTCGGGCTGGGGGGGTGAGTTATCGGTCAGCTGGTGATGAGGTGTTGTATTCTCTTCCCTTGTTATTTCCTTTAGCATTACTATTATTGGTGGTAGCAGTAGTGATTTGTGTTATACCTTAGTTACTAAACTGTTCTTATCTCAACCCATAGGAGTTGCATTCTTTCTGATTCTCCTCTCCGTCCCTCCAGGAGTAGGGGGAGGGCAGGAAGAGGGGGGGAGTGGGTGAACAAGCTGTCTGGATGGGGTTAAACCACGACATTTGATCAGTGATGCTGGGTCCCCACAGGCTCTGGGAGACATGGAACAACAGGAATCTAAGCAGTGCACAGTGAAGACTGGAGCTTGGGGATGTCTTAGGCCCAATAGAGCTGTCAGCATCAGCCATCTGTCCATCCCACAGCCATGCCCATAGAGCTCTGCCAAACTGAAGTGAAAGACGTTCAGAGAGGACAGGTGCCTCAGCACCAGTGCCTCACCCTGGGTAAGTGCTGCAGCCTTTTCCCTTTTCTCTGTGCTTGTGTTCTAAGCCAAGGTCACAACATGTGAGTTGGGACTGCACAGGGGTTGCCAGGTCTCACAGGCAGTAAAGGGTTTGCTGTGGACTGGCCCCACATGCTGCCTATGAAGACAACAGCAGGGCACAACTCATCCTTGCACTGAAACGTGTGGCACAAGCCATGAAGATGGCATTGATGTTACATGTTGTGCTCCCCACTCAGAGCCTAAACCTGAACAGCCAAATAGCTTGAACTTGTGCAGTGGCGATGTCTCCCACAGGATCCTGCCTTGGAGTGGGAAAAGCCTGTCTGCAAGGCAGCACTGCTGTCACTCACAGCTCAGACGCTCACTGTATGGAAGGGAAAGGAATGGAAGGGGAAGATAAAGGCAAAACAAGGAAAAGGCAAAGATAAAGGGAAAGGGAAAAGGCACAGGGGAGACACGAAAGGGGAAGGAGGAAAAGAGAAAGGGGAAAGAGGAAAAAAGGAAAGGGGAAAAGGAAAAAAGGGGAAAAAGGAAAGGGAAAAGAAAGGGAAGGAGAAGGAAAATGGAAGGGAAAAGGGAAAAGTAAAAAAGGAAAAAGGGAAAGTGGAAAGGGAAAAAGGGAGGGAAAAAGAAAGAACAATCTAGGGCTACCACAGCCCCCCAAGCACAGTTGCCAGGGCAGGATGGGACCCAACAGACTTTAATCTCAGAGCAAGTACCACTGAAGTCCCAGGAGCAGGTGAGAAGTGACCAAAACCACCTTTGCCCAGTGGCTGTGTTAAAACACTGCTCTTTAATTAGTACCCATAGTGAATCTGGGGCCACTGGAGCATGCTTTGCCGGGCTCCCTGATCCTGAGCCAGTGTTTTCATCACATGGACATGTTAACAGTGTAGAGCAAGTCACTGTGTGGGGCAGGATGCCACCCACAGCAGTGTATCGGGTAGCGCAGTACAAGGCAAAGTCAGGACACCACACAGGGCAGGGTGCTTGTGTAGGACAGGACACTGCGCAAGGCAGGACGCCATGCTGACCAGGACCATTGGGAACACTGTGCTGTGACACTGTAGGGCACAACCAGCAAGACATCAGTGAAACTGATGTGGCCTATTGTGTAAAGGGGGGTGTACAAGGGGGTTAGACAAAATGTACAGAGGGGGGTTGTACAAGGGGGTACTGCTTAAGTTATAGCTTGTTTGACAAGCTCAGCAGATGCCTTATCAGGCAGTACCAGGATAGAACCTCCTAATGAACAGCTCATTAAACCAGTTGGACATAGACCAGACCCATCCAGCTCCTAAAGAGCATGCGTGAGGACCAGAGGTAAAAAGTTCAAGCCTGAGGCAGACTCGTTTACTTCATCTTGAAGACCCCTACCCACAAGAGGAAGACTACTTACTTCATCTGAAGACCCCTGCCCAAGACCACCAGGAGGCACTGAGCATGCGTGGAGAGCCTTTTAGCTCATTATAATATGAAGCGGGGATAGAATATAAATATGTATAGGCGTATTGTGCAACCTAATACATATGTACAACTTTACAGGATAAATGTAGAAGGAAAACGGCACTGAAGTGCGCATGCCTTTTGGAGGACCAATCCCCCGTGCGTCTTCAGCTGAATAAAGCATACCTACTTTACAACTTTAACCAAGTTGTGAAGTCTATTCCGCTATCAATCAGCAGCAGTGTGTCAACGTGACTGGTGCCCTGCCGAGGCCGAGCACCATCCTGAGGATGGCTTCTCACCTTCGTCATCCCCTCCTCAACCACTTCTATTCTCCTGTTCAGCTGTGCCATTTGCTGCTCCTCGGTGCCTGCGGTGTCCAGGGTCTCGCCAGGGCGGCCCACCGGCGGCTGAGAGAGACCCGCCTCCTCCTGCCCGCCCTCCTGTAGCCGGATGTGCCCCGGGGGCCCGGGCAGGAGGACACATAGCCTGCCGACCTGGGTGCTGCCGCCGTTGGCTACGCTGGAGGCCACGTCCGCCAGCGTGATGGTGAGACTCATGTTGCCTTCGGTCGCCCGAGGGGGGCCTCGGGCCGTGGCCGCTGGTGGCATCCCGTCTATGAGGTCACAGGGGACGTTACCTGGCGATGGCCCCGGCGTTCTGTCCCCGTCCTCGGCCAGTCTGCCGGGGGGAGAACGACGGGACTAGGCCCCTTCCCGGTGCGGCCTGGCGCTGGGAGCAGGCTTGGCCCGGTGCGGCCTGGCGCGGGGGAGCAGGCCGCGCTCCGCTGGGGGCTGTAGGCTGCGGACCCGGCCGCGAGCGGCCCCGCGTCAGAAGCAAGCCCCAGCCCCCGGCGGGTTCAGCACGGCCCCGCCCCGCCCCGGCCCCGCCCGCTGCCCGCCCCGCCCCGCCCCGGAGCCGGTGGGTGCCGGAGCAGCAGCCGGGAGGCGGCAGCCGGTAGGTGCGTCCCCGCCAGGCCGCGGTGGGGGTCGGGCCCCGGGGAAGGGTGGTACCGGGAGAGGGAGGCTGTGGGGTCCGTGCCCCCAGGCCCGGGGAGGCCGCGGCGGCCTTGTGGCAGCGGGGCCGGCTGGAGCGTGGGGACACTGGGCACGGAGGGGACACACGCAGGAGCCCTGCACCGTCTGCCGCTGATACGGAGAGAGGGATGGAAATCAGTGCCCGGTTAACGCGCTGAGGAGGGACAGCGCGGCTCCAGGCAGGGATGGCCTCTGTGCTCTGTGTGCCTGCAGCGCTTGCTGCAGAGGAGAGGTACGGGCCAGGGAGGCAGGCCCTGCACTTGGACTGGGCTTTACCGTTGTCCGCAGCGGCCACAAAGTGCCGCAGCATGCGACCAAAACCAGAGCGAGCTTCAGTTTGTACCCTCAGCAGTGCGGGAAGGGTTGGGACGGGAGGGAGGATCAGTTGTGCTGGAGGGCTGGAGCAGCGGGCGCGGCGTGAAATTCAATCGGATGGAAAGTGAGGTCGTGTACTTGGGAAGAGGCGCTCGGCTGTAAGGAGAGCGCTTCAGCCCGGCCGCGGTCGTGCCAGCTTGCGGAGAGGACGGTGGAGAGCTGCCTGCAGGGCACTGCTATGAGAGGAGCAAATAGGACCCGTTACCGTGACGGATCCCCGGGAGGAGGGAGCCAGGCCTAGGTACAAGTGCGTGTTTGCAGTCGTCCCTGCTGGGGAGAGAGGAGCTTGGGCTGGAACTGCCCGTTAAGTGATCAGGAATGATGAGCCCGTTTTAGAGGAGGTGGAAGAAGTTTATGTGTTTTGACAAGCAGGAAGAGAGATTAAGATGATGGGGATGGTATTGCCCATCAGCACAGTGGCAGTGTGAACCCTGTGAAAGGAGGAGAGCTCATTCAGCTAATGGGAACTGCAGCACAACAAATACCAGTGAATAAATATTAGTAAGAGCCTGAGAGGTCTTTAACCATTAAAGTGGTGAGACCTAGGTTCTGCCTCCCCAGGGGACTGGAGAGGCAAAAGCGTAGGAGCTGTTAAGGCAGCACTCAATTTATGAAGAGCACAGTGGTTTGTAAATGCTGCTAAATATCGGGATGGAGTTTGGGACCCCAGGAAGAGCTCCAGGTCTGTGCAGGGGAGCAGGAAACAGGCAGGCTGGGATGGACACAGCCATGCCAACATCCTCTGGATCATCTGCAGGAGTCATGCTCAAGGTTAAACTTCTCCAAGCCACTGCAAGCCTAGGTGGGTGCCCCTTGTTCCGAGGTGTCGCTGGAAAAGCTGCTCAGAGATGTGCTTGCACTGATGAGAACTGGTGAGGGGACTGGCAGTTGTCATGTTCCTGGCTGAGCCTGAAACATCAGGTGGTTGAGTAGGTCAGGCACAATGATTTTAAGTAGAGCTGTTTTAAATGGTAATTATAGGGGGTTTGGGCTGAATGTAGAACTAGCTGAGAAACGCTTTGTGAATATGCAACATAGCCTACTGTTTGTTCCCTTTCAAACTGTGCTTGAAATGGGGTTTTCCTTTCTGCTTTCCAGAGTGTGTGTTTGGAATAGGCAATAGGGGGAACTAGAATGAGTATTATGTAGTGTAGCATACAACCATAGTATGTCATTCGTTCAATTTTAGGAACTAAAGGAGCTCGTGTCAGTGTGGAAAGCACAGGCTGAAAACTTCCTTTCCCAAAGTTTTCTCTGTCTAAATGTTGTAGCGATGTCCGTGCTCCCCAGGAAATCCCTGGGAGCATTTAGTGATGTATCTGTGTTGTTCTCTCTAGGCATTATGTGAGGAAGGAATTCCTACTTAGAGCTAGGGAAGTGAGGACTTTAGGAACTGATGTGAGGCTGTTTAGTGGCATGGCTTGGGCACAGATGGGGGATGAGGCTGTAGCAAGGGTGGGGTGATGGAGCAATGTCCCCAGATGTCCTGAGTGATGCCACGTGGAGCAAACGTGCTCAGTCCTCCCCAGCTGCTGTGGTATGGGTGCTGTGTCTGCTCAGGGAGGTGATGGGAGAGGGGATGTGCATGTTTGTATGCTGAGTACCAAAAGATCTTGCAGTGGGTGTGACTTGGGACAATTAACAGAGAGGGAGCTTCTCTGTCAGAACCTGAGCCCTTCCTAAGCAGATGGATGACCATGCTGAGTTTCTTGTTGTATTTCCTCTACAGGTCCTGCACCTGAAATTCACTTCCTCATGTTTTTGTTCTGGTTGGAGCTGCTGTTATGAGAAGGGAGGGTGTCTCTCTCAGTGCCTTGTCAGTGCATGGTTTTGAAGCTCACTTCCTAATCAGCTGTGCTTTCTGTGTGTGAGAAATCACACAGTGATGCGAAGCGCAGCCACTGCTTTCCTTCTGGATGAAACACAGCTAATGCACTCCTGTAGCTGAAGGGCATCCAGCCAGGGGCCAGGCTGTCCACAGCTCCCACACTGTGCGTGTTTCAGGGAGCTTTGGGTCCTTGGCACATGGGACACCAAGTGACACTGGTCACTTGGTCCATTGTCATCTGCAGAAGTGTTCCTTTTGCCAGTGTTACTCACTAACATAGTGAGAGAAAGGATGAAAACAACTTTATTACGTAAAATACTGCCTTTTTCCCCCGTTCAGATGTGAATTTAGCAGATAAATACTTGTATTTAAAGGATGTGGTGATGCAAAGATCTTCCAGTATGAGGATGAGTGGGTTTGGAAGGAGATACACAGACTTCTAGTATCTGCTCTTATCCAAGGATATTTTTTTTCCTTATGGGTAAAGAGAAGTATGAAATTTGGTGTTCTATGTCTGTTTGTGGTACCATTGTAGAGTCATACATTTGATTTCTTACAATTGCTTTAATCATGAGAGCATATCCTAGACTGAAAAAATCTACTTTTCTTTAACTCTTTTTAATAGAGTTCTTTGCTAAGATCTGCACTGGGGCTGTGCATCGCTTTTGCTGCTATTACCAGGCCTCTGTATGTGTGGTAGTTTTCCAGTGTGCAGGCTCACATTTACTCAGCTTTGCACTAAGCCAAGGAAAAGATTGGTGGCTGCAAGGTTAAGCAAGGAAGCAATGGTATTTGCATAATATGGAGGTTAAAATAATAACAAAGGTAGAATATACCTTCAAGTTTCTAGGCAGATACGCTGACTTCTGTGATGAGAAGGTGGTGTTCTCTCAGACTGATACAGGCAAAGCTGCTGAAAACAGGGAGGACAGGAGAGTTGGAAAACAACAAATAGATGCTGATATGCCTCGTGGGTCTTAGCAGCAGTCAGTGATATTCTAAAAGGAAAGATTCTAACTATACAGTACTTTTCCCTTCCCTCCAATGCAGTAAAAATCATGGCTTGCAGTGGCAACTTCAGTTGTTCTGCAAATTGTTGGAGGGTTTTGGCTGGATTTTCTTCCAGGACCTGATTCTGCAACTGTTAATGCGAACAAAGTACTCTAGCCTGAAACCGACTCTCCTGAAGATTTAGAACAAGGTATCTGAGTGCACACATTTGTGGGCACAGATGTGTATGTACCTTCTTTTTCCTTCAAAAAAACACATGATGAGCAACTTCTGCCTTGGGATGTGATACTCACCTTGCTATTTTCCTATTGTTCCCAATTGGCACTCAGCACTCATCCTGCAAGTGGAGAGCAGCAGTGCAATTTTCATAAGCAGCATCAGATCTTTACAGGCTCTGCAAAGGACATATCTCCTCCTCCCATCAAAGGGAACACTATTAGCATAGGTGCCATAGGAAATCACAATCTATTTCCTCAGCAGTATGTCTCTGAAGCTTGGGGGGGTGGGGGGGGCGATGGAGGGGATGGATGACACGACATAGGCTTGGTGGCTGTTTTTGCTTTGGGCTTGTTTACTCAGAGGTACTTCATGGCTGCAGTCTAAAATCTGTTGTGGTGGAAAGGGCTGTTTGAGAGGCCCGTGCTGATCCCAGATCTAGGTAAAGAATGGCAGTAGGAAGGAAACCGCTTCATGCCTTGCATCCCCTGTATGGGGCCATATGTTAGTGCAGTTATCTTTAACCTGAACTCTCTTAGCAGGCCTGAATTTAGCAAAAGAAAATACAAGAAATAACCCCAAAAGATGGAGATGTAATTAGCATCTTAGGAATTGAGAAGAACAGCTGCTGGCTCTGTGTGTTCAACTTCACATGATGAAACCCAGGAGGATCAGAGAATGAAGTGAGCTGGGGCTTTCCCTGCAACTTAAGTAGTGTATTTCTCTGTTACCTATTGTGATTAGTAAAATAATTCTGCATTAGTGTAGTTATGTTTCCTTTGCCTCCTTTATACATAGAAAATGGAATGATACCCAGTTCTCTTACGGATTAGGAGAATTTAAGTTAAAACATTTGTGCTGAGATGGTGCTCCTTCTGCCCTGAACCAGTGTGCGGGCACATTCCCTATGGTGTATGTTCCCAACCCTTTGATACCCAGTCTCTGCATTTAGGAAGAAAATCTTCCCTACCTTGCCCTAACAGGCTGATTACCTATGAACAGTTTTGGAAGTTGTGCTTTTGGAAGGAGCATTCTAGCTTTCAAGTTTACACTGTTTCATCTTGCATTCCATCTTACAGTCATAAATTCCATCTGTCACTATGATGTGCACATCCCATGCTCTAGCCATATTGCATCTTTTTTTCATCCCCTTGCAATTTGAGCCATGAGAGCCTCTTTGCTTTGGGACAGGTACCCTCAGCTCCATTTTGGCAGCTAGTGCAAAGGCTGGGTCTATGTGTGAAGGCATTGCAGTTATCCCGGCAAGTCCCAGAGCTGAGGTTTGGTCTGTGGGAGCTGCCTTCTCAGCAGGACACATTCCCCTGCCCTGCCTGGGATGGGCAGTGGGAGACGTGGGGACCTGTGCAGGCAGCAGGGAGAGGCTCTTTAACCACTGCAGAGGGGTATGTCAGGCTCTCTGAGCTTCCCCCCTGGTTTATACTGCTCAAACATACAGCCTACTTCCTAATAGGACTTTGCAGGTGTAAAAAGGGAAAACAGAGAGGCTTGCTCTCTCTTGCTATTGGGCTACATGTGTAGACAACAGTGCACTTCCTGCCTCGCTCCAGATCTCAGCGACTACTGTTTTGTGATCATTGATGTCCCACAATGGTATCTGGTGAAAGTATCCTTACAGAGGAAGCCCTGACTTACATCATTTGATAACGGAATCTTTTATTGAGACAAGTCGTGGTGGATGAGGAGCAGTCACAAGTGAGCACAGGTAGTCTGCCAGTCTGGCAATGGCAGGCATGGTCAGCCTGCTCCCTGCAGGGATGGACTCAGAGGGTCTTTCTGCTTCTTACCTTGGCATCTTTAATCTGACAGTATCTCATAGTGCAAGATAAAATGAATCAAAAGGGTTTTTTTTCCAAACATGTTTTGAAGCACATTTGGTTGAAAAGATACACTTCATAAGGAGTCGCTGAGGAACTGTATTAAAAATAAGCCCTCATTGCTCAGAAATACCTTGTGCTTCCTCCCACAGCTGGAAAGAAGGTATAATCTTTTAGATTATGGGTGAGAGAGTAAGATTATTGCCTCAGCAAGAATTATTGTAAAATTGATTTCATTTAGGTCACAGAACACAGATTGTGACGTGAGGGGCAAAATTTAACGATAGCCTTGGCCTTACTGGAGGTGAGACAGGCAGCACTGAGGCTGGGGGCGAGGTGGGAGTGCTTGTGTTCTCCTCGGCTGTTGTAGGAAACCTGTCCAAGTTGTGCTTGGAAACCTGTCCAAGTGCACAAGGTAAAGCTTTAAAGGAAGCTTTACTTTGTGCATTTCCAGTGTGGGTAAGGGAAACGGCTCCTCACCCTCTGCTGGTAGCATCCTTGAAATGAACTGCACTTTCCCTTATAGAAAGCATTTGCCCAGCCTGGAAGTCTTTGTGATATTGGGATGCTAATGTTGTAGAGGAACAAATAAAGGCAAAGATCAGGGCATAGATGGGGAGCACTTTATGTCCTGTCTGGGAAGCACCACCAGCTTAGCCTGATTCAACCAGGGCTACATTTGCCTCCCAGGAGCAGAGGGAGGGTCAACTGTTTTTTATGGCTGCACCATGTGCCTGCAGAGCTTTTAGAGACTGGCTAGTATGTGCTGGGTTGACTTGCTGGTATCTCCAGAATGCAGAACAGCTGCTGTCCATGTTCTCTCTCCATCTCTTTTGGGTTGTTTTGTTGTGTTGGTTTTTTTTCTTCAGATGGCCATGAGTCAGCCCTTCCCTGCTCTCTTTGAATTTCCTGGTTTCTGAATAGGCTATTCTTGGCACAGCAGTTCCTGACAGATGGGAACAAGGGGAGTGTTGTGTTGTTTTGGTTTGCTTTTTTTTTTTCTTCCCCTGGCCTGTCTTAATGCTCTGCTTCTCTCTGATTTTTAACTTGTTCCCAGATTTCTGAATCATCCTAAATTGCTGGATGCCATCTGGGGTGTGCTTGCTCTTGTACCAAAGGAGCACTCTCAGGCATGATCCAGGCTGCAGTCCTTGCACAGCACCAGCTTTTCTTTCACAGCACTCCCATGAGTGTGGATGGTTAGACTGCTATGGCTGTGTCTATTGTAAAGCTTAAAACCTCCTTGTTTTAGCTCCTCTAATTCCAAGGGGCTGTGCTTGGCTCTCTAGTGATCTAGTTTGCAAGGTGAGGACCACTTCTTCGCGCCATGTCCACATGACACAGGTGACACAGTGACTCTCATTGAGGAGCTGATGGGCAGAGCACTCCGGTTCAAATGGCTAAGTGTGACTGTGGATGCTGCCTCTGCGCCCTTTCACAGGTGAGGGGAAAGTACAAACTAGAATTTAAAATAATAAAAAAGCTTTCCAATTGCTTAACTAGTTATTGCCCCCATGGATGGCAGAGGCTGGAAATCTGAAGGGTATTGTCTCTGAAGTGCTTCATGATGCAGTTACACAGCTTCGTAACACAGAGAACTTTGTAATTTCTTCTGGAGTTTGTTGCTCTGTAGGGTGAGCTGGGGAAGGCCACCTTCCAGCGGCAGGTAGTACACCCTGAACCAGGCGTGCTGGCCTCCACTCCTGCTAGGCAGATGCTTGGTTAGAAGTGAACATCGTGTCTAATATGAAACAGTCTTTGACGGGTTTTAGTTTTATTAAGAGCACAGCTCTTTCTGTCAAGACACAGTTGTATGCAAGGGGGAAGTAGCCTGAGCTGTTGTATACTTTGCCTTGAAAATTCAGTTGGCGTTTTAAAAGCACCAGAGGCATTCAATGTTTTCTCAAAGTCTGGTTACCAAGAAAAATTTCTCAGCCAAAAGTACTAGAGGACTCAAAACACAAGGGTAGTGTTCTTCTTTAGCATCCCTCCACGTTTTTGGATATGCTGTATTGTTGTTAAGCCAACCAAGATAAAAGCTTTCTGTGTGAGGAACCTCTGAGAACATTCACTGCCGGATTAAATTAGCCTTTCTGAGAATAAATTAGTGGCTGTGATGTAGGCAGCCCTGCTCACTGCAGCTGTAAAATCCACGCCTGCTGGTGCCCCCAGAAGGTAACTTAAATGGGAGATGCAATAGCTGTGTTTGGGGTAGTGCTGTTAACTTGAGATTAGATTTCTGGCTTCTGATGAATTAAAAGCAGCCTGTTGACTTTTATTGATTGTGTCTCCAAATAAGAAGCACGCCACCCTTTTAAGAGAGGGAAAGGAGCCCCTGGGATTCAGAGCAGCTTAATTTTGTGAGGAAATAATGGACTAAAGCTATATCCCTGCTGTAGTGTTTCTTCAACCTGGGATGCTTCTGAGGTCCTCGGGGGTCCCAGTCACCCAACACCCAGTAGGGGAGCATTGGAGGCTTGGGTTGGAGGGGAGGACAAAGACTGGAACACAGAATGAAGGAAGGCAGTCATGGTTGAATTTCCATTCTACTGCTGACTCCTTTGGGCTTGAGTTTTTAACTGACCACTGGATAAATACCTTCTGCTAGTGTGTGTGTGCTGCCCTTTTCTTGAAGTTGTGTTCAGTTTGTCTTCTAGTTAACTTCATGCCTTTATTCTGCTTTATGGTATAAAAGGAAGTGCTCGCAGGACGTGTTGGTATGTGCTGAAGTCTCAGCTTGCCCTCCCACCTGCTCTGCTGTGACCATGCAGCTCCTCCAGAATCTTAAAGTAGTCTTTGAGGAAGAGAGTGAAGCTGGGACTGGAGACTGCTTCTACTGCTGTTAAATATCTACTCTTCTCCTGGGTTTGTTGTAGGTCTTCCACAGAGACGTCCTCTGGAGCATATTGGTGTTTTGGGAATGGAGGTTCTGTGGCTTCAAGCTACAGGTGCTGTTATTTTAGTACTTTTAGTACTAAAATACTAATAGTACTATTTAGTACTAAAGTACTAAAATAATAATTGTACTATTTTAGTGCTGTTATTTTAGCCTTTCAGACTCCCTCTTGGGTGCCACAATTCAGGATGCATTAGCACAGTGGGAGCTCAGGTTTGAGCTGGCTGCTGGGCTATTCTGATGAGAGAGCAAACAGTTCTCAGCTTGGTGTTGTGGTGGTGGGAGCTGCTGTGTCTTCATCAGGCTCTGGAAAGGATTTCAGTCCTGAGTCCTCCAGAGAGCCAAGCTGTTTACCTGCCCTGAGGTAACTTGGTGTTATGTGCTTGGATTTTCAGCAGGCTCATTCCTCAGCTGTGAGAGCAGTGACCCAGCTTCAGGACTGGTCACTCAGGACTGGTCAGTCTCAGGACCCTCTGATCAGCGCTGCTTTTAGCATCACAGTAAAGCAGCGGAGTGTTGTCTTTAAAAGTAGAGAAAATCTTAGAACAGGGACTTGAGGAGGTGTATTGCTGTGTATTAGGAATGCCTTGAATCCAGCTGCTGTGTCTAGATTTTCAGCAAGAGGTCTTCCACTTGCTGTGTCCATGGTTCTGGAATTGGTGCAGAATCTGGGTGGTATCCCACATGTGCCAAAACTAGGCTGGTGCCTGGAGCTGTGCCTGAAAGGTAAGAGGACATAATCTCTCTTCCTTCACCCTTGGTTTCACAGCTCTGTTGGCCTGACTGCACATCTTCCTGAATTTGGCTAGCTCATTCGTGTCTTGGTCAGTGTTCTTGTCAGTTCTGCTTACGTTGAGACAAGGGGGAGCATGAAATTACTAAATGGAATATATAAACCTTTATAATCAGTTTTAAGTAATGTTAAGTTTGATGGCTTTGTAACAGCAGCAATGGAAAACTACTGAGGTGCATGATACATAGAAAAAAAGAGTAGACTACAGCTAGAGAACATACTGAGAATTCCTGTACAAGGTAAATCGTTATAGTTGACATAGTTTTAAGAAAAACAGTCCAGAAGAACAGGATGCAAGGACAAGGAGTATCTGGGAATGGCAGGTGTCCAGGATGGGCTGCAGTTAAACTAACTGATAAGTAGGAGGACAGGAGGATTATTATGCCTCTGGTGCTAACGAACCAATTAAGCTGGTATAGTGTCTACTGTGCGTGCTCCAGAGGTGGCCAGAAGTGATGAAGATTGTTGGAAGAAGTAACCGACCCTCAGAGACCACCACCACAATTCTGTACGCATGCGGGGAACATTCTGGAAAATGATGTAATCCATACGTAGCCTCATGAACATGTATGTATGCCCAGGGACTATATAAGGATGGCTTGTGCAGCAGTATGGGGACACACATTAGGAGGAGCTATCCCCCGTGTCTCCCGGCGCCGCAATGAAGAATACCTGCTTGTCAGCTTGAAAACTTTGTTGGCAAGTTTGTCCCTGGAGTTTTCTCTGAATCAACGTTAAAGTGAGCCAGGCCGGTGACATCCCTGGCTTTGCATGCCTGCATAGTCTCCCCTGATAGGACTGCTGTGCATTGCCTTCCAACAAGCAGTTTTGGCAAATAAGGCTCATGGGGAAGCAGCTTTTGGCAGGATCCAAGGGACAGAGATGTAGCAGCTTGTTACATGGCTTTGTTCGGCAGACAGCAGCAGTTTTGGGGAAGGGGTTATGAAGGAGTTGGCAGAAAATGGGTACTGCTTACTGAAACTAGTCATGAAATGCTTTGGAGTAAAAATGACTTCCCTGTACCAGGAAGTCAGCACAGACTAAGCACGTCTGGTTGGAACTGGAGGGAGAAATGGGACAGGCAGGAGCTGTGTGTGACTCAGGGTGCATCCCAGGGCTCCCTCAGAGTCCCTGTGCTGCTGTTGGACATGACCCAGTGCTGGGCACAGTCAGTGGCTGTTGATTAACCCAGGGGATTTCCCTTCTGTACCTGGGATATGGACATGTTCATCTGTCTCTGAGCAGGGCAGATGAGCTGAGCTTGGGAGCAGGGAGTGCAGGTGCCCTCCTCCTGTCAAACTGCCATGGGATGAGTGAGCCCCACACTGGCAGGGCCCTGGGCCACCCTAAAAGAGAAGTCCTGGCCTGGAAATGGGAAGGTCTGGTCATGCCATGGGAGGAACAAGGCAAGTGCGATGAGTGGCCTCAGCACGGAGGAGTTCCTCCAGTGTGTGTCTCTGGACATGCATGGCTCCTCTTTGTTGGCGATAGGACTCAGAGACCTCAGACCTTAAACACACTCTCCTGCTTAACCCCAAACCATGCTTCTTCACACAGAGTGAGCTGTGGCCTTCACTGAAATTGAGTGATAGAGAGCACTTGTCATTAGTACTCGGAGAAAAACCCAAGACGACACTGTACCTGTAAAATCTAAATGTCAGCAGCTTCTCTGGCACCAAGGTAGGGGTATCTTTGGGGGTAGAAAATGCTAATGTTGGATTCTGTGATTCTATGACTGAGACTGGAGCTGGTGCTATAGCAAGCTGGTGCTATGGTTCAGATAAGAGAACATTAGTACTGTGTTTTGTACATCCCTTGGAAGGAAAATGGATCTGGAATCACCACCAGTGTATTCAGAATTATTTCATTGTGTTGCAAGGGAATTCTGAATAGGCTCTTGGGCTCTGATTAATTCTGACACTGACATGCGGCTCCACAAAAGTGCTGATCCTCTATGACTCTAATTTCTCCCTCCCTTGGAGCTTACTGCATTATTTAGTGGAAGTCACACATCTACTCAGTTAGATTCAGCGATGATATAGCTGCATTATTGTTTGACTTTCTCTCAAAAAAAATCTGTAGAATGAGGGAGTAATGAAAAATATGGGTGCATAAAGGAATAAAATATTTTTAGCATAGTTTTGGGAAGGATTTCTGTCAAATCCCGAGTTGGGCAGTGGGTGATCATCCTATATTCATCTTCTCTGTGTGAGAGCTGGAGGTGCCATTGAAATGGGCAGGCAGCAAACTCACAGCAGGAGACACTTTTGTGTGGAGGTAACTGAGGAGCAGAACTTGCCACTACCGTCAGTGGCAGAGCTCAGTGAGCCAGTGGGCTATAAAGGCATTGAAGTGGTCCATGGGGAAACTCCAGGCTGCCTCTCTAAAATTTAACATTATTAACTAGATATCAAATGGATGATGTAACGCAGTACTTACCTTCCCAGGGGAAATTGTAAGTAGATACACAGGGCTGCAGGCAACAGCTGCTGATATTGGTGGGTGCTTTCCCATGCACGTTACCAAGTGTTAGCTTCCTAACTTCAGTGAATGTCTCACAGAAGAGCTCTCTGGTTCCCCAGGGATTTGGCTTGTGCCACCCTCCTTTTCTCATCTTGGTCTAGCTGGAGCAGATTGCTGAGGTACAGAGGATCTCAGCTTTGTCTTTAATGTTACTTTTAAACTCACCTTTGCATCCATGAGAACACCTACCGTATTACAGTCTGCCTTGAGGCCAGCTGGTAAGGTCTGAAACATAGCACCTCTTGCAGGGCAGCCTGTGCTTGCTCCATGTGCACAAAGCTGTCTTTTAGCTGCCCTGTGGTGGTCCAGAGTGCTCTGTGCACGCCTGGACCTTCCCTGATGCCCCTAAATATGTAAGGGCTGGGGTTCAGTCTTGAAGTGTAGGGTAATGGCTTCTCCCTGATGCAGACGCATGATGCTTCTGCATCAGTGTGCTGTGGTTTGGGAGCCCAGAACAGGGAGCAAGGAGCTACCCCAGTTCTTTCATTTCTGCTGTTGTTTCTTTAAATGTTCAGGTTAACCGGGTTCTGGCAGTGCTGTTTCTGCAGCCCGGGTGAGGAGAGCCAGCAAACACTTCTTCAGCCCATCTGGAGGCGAATGGCACTGGAGAGAATCCCAGAGGCAGCAGAAGGTCCTGACAAATGCTCCTCCTGCACATAACCCTTTGTGGGTGTTGCAGATAAACCATCCTTGTCTTAAGCAGGGGGATTTTGTGTATGGTTTTCCTGACATCCATACAGAGTTGCTGCGCAAAGCAGTAATTTGAATCTCTGGCTGAGGACAGCTGAGCCTGGGCTGTGTCATGGAGATTATCTGATTGTGCCTTGGATTTAATGCCTGGAGAAATCTTGCTTTGGACACAGCACCTGGCTTCCAGGGAGGATCCTGCTTGTAGCTGATTAGCCTGCTGGGTGACTGTGGCACAGAGAAGGTTAAATGGCATATCCGAGGTCCCAAGGTAGAGGACTGCACCGGGGATGCTCCTCCAGAGATTCGCGTGCTGTAGAGCAGAGCAGGAAGCTTTGGTCATCTGATGTAGCTAGACTGAACAGCGAATAACCTTCTCCTCCAGCAATCCTTTGCGTTAAAGGACGACTCCTGCCCTGCTTTGCCAGCAGAGCTGTCCGTCACAGCAAAGGAAGAGCCTGACCCTCCGGGAAGTGACTTGATTTCTGCAGCTGAAATCTGAGTGCGGAAGTGTGGGAGCAGTGTGCCCTTCTGCAGCAGCCTGGCTGCTCCTGCACAGTGGGTTTGTGCTCCCTGGCAGCGCTGCTGGAGGCGCAGGGCTTCTTCTGCTTCGGGAGATGCAGTTTAGAGAAAGAACAGACCTTCCCGTTAGTCCTTAATTTGGGCTTCCCTCTGTGCCTTCCGCCAGTGTGTTGTAGGCATGCGCCCTCTCGCTGTCTTGCCCAGGGTCAGGATGATGAGTTGAGAAGGTGCTGCTGGGGTTAACAGCGGGGTAAAGGAGGGGTAGTGATGCCTGGTCAAGCATTGCCAGGGCATCCTCTTTGTAAAGGAGGCTGCAGCACTGTCTGCTGTTTGTTGCTTCCCTCCTGGCTCTGAGGAGGTGGTGTGCGGGCTGGAGGCAGCGAATGCGCATGGGAAGAGGCAAGGCTGAGGGGGAAGTTTGGCTCGCTTGCAGGGAAAACGTCTCTCTTTTTTTCCTTTGTTCCACATAAACCCGGCCAGAATTAACCACTGACACTGCTTTTTCAGCAGGGATTTTTGCTGTCTTTCCATTCAAGGTAAGGGCTGTGTGCTGTGGATTGTGTGTGGTGCTCTCGGGAGCAGTGGGAGCTGAGCCACATCCCCACAAGCTGTGTGGGAGCGTGCAGTAGGCCTGTGCATGGGGAGGGCAGCACTCCTGGCCTGTGCTGTGGCACAGGGGTAATGCAGAACACGATGCAGAGCCCACCCAGGCTGGGCTTTGGAGATGCTACTCAGAAATCTATTGTGAAGGAGAGCATTGCCATGGTCAGGGTATGGCTTTGACCACCTCTCATCTGACCCTGCTCTGTTCAGTCTCTTCTTGCTACCCCTAAAAGCCCTTTAAAGGATAACAGGCTGATGTTTTGCCAGTATCTGACCTGCCTTTTGTGTTCATACTCAGCATATTTGTCTGTCTTCCTAGTCTTGGTATTTCCCTCTTTCTGGACCAGGTAGAAGCCTGTGGCACACAGGTGCCTTTCTTGAGGCTGGGAAAACTGGAGTGGTAGTGCCTACAGTGCTGTCCCTTTTTTTAAGGGGAAGAAGGCTGGCTTCAGTGAGGGGCGCCAGTTTATTCAGAATTCTTGACTTTGCTTTTAAAGCCTGGAAACTGAAATTTGTGTCTTTTTGATGTACAACAAAGCTGAAACCGGTCACATCCTTTTCTCTTATTATTCATTTAATTTTAGTGTGTTTTTTCCTCTTCTAAGTATTGGAAGTTACTTTTTGTGGAGGAAGAGCTCCAGAAACGTGCAGCAGCAGCTTTTGAAGTACCAACATCACCGAACATGGTTGAGTGTAAACAAACGCTGCTTCCTGCCCCGTTGGCTGAAACCAGTGCTCACAGAGGCAGAACAAAGCCAAATCATGAGTCTCCAGTCGCCAGAGGCCGGAGGCGCAGAGACCACGCAGACGGTGTTTCTGCTCATGGGAGTGGATCTCAGCTGCTCTGAGGCTGACTCAGGGCTGCACCAGGGCCAGCACTGCGCTGTCAGGTTGCACGTGAGTTAATGCTTGCCAGTGATCTGCCTGCTCTGTCCTGCCCGGGTTCATCTCACTCTTGGTGATTCCCAAGAGGAAGCAGCCTGAAGTGCACATGACTGCTGCCTGGGGAGAATGGTGTTAACATCAAACCTTCGTATCTCCAGGCAGTGCAGAAACCGTCTGTGACTGGCCTCTTCTTGGCATTATCTATTTTATGTGCTCAGCCAGGACCTGTTCTGGTGGTGCTATGGTCCATGATCACGCTGCACTCCACAATTCCATTGTTTTTCACAGCTGGAGCCCACCATACCTGTGTGGATGGGCAGGCCTTTCCCCTTGTCGTGTTTGAAGCTCAAACTGTTTCCACAGGGATGTTGCAGAAAGAGAAACAGCCAGCAGGGAACATTGGACTGTAACACAGCAGCTCTTCTCGTCACTGCTATAAGCAGCTGGGAGAGCTGTGTGGTCACCAGTTTTGGATGTGTCAGTAATGGGAGCCATGGGTTTTGGGGTATTGATCTCTAAATAACTAGAGCTGGGGATGCTGGGCACAGGAAGGAGGTGCATTTTCAACTGGAAATAGCATCTCTGTCCATCCTTTCACTGGTAACCAACTCCTTTTGAGTCTTACAATCTTGCAATGGGTCCTTGCTCCCAAAGGACTCATTGAACTGGACATCGGTGATTCTGTCAGGCCTTGAACTTAAATGCAGTAAACTTGGCCAAGATTATTTGTAAAGCTTTTGTTTCCCCCCTAGGTGTTCAGCTGATCTATAAGCACCATTATTCCAGTAAGCCCTACTGTGGAGGCAGTTTCTGCAGTCTTTGGGAATGTTTTTTTCCCATGTAAGAACAGCTAGTTCTGTTTAAGCTGTTTTCATGACACAGGAAAGCACTGGTGGTTCAGCTTTAATGGACTAGCCTGGTTAGTGTGGGACAGAGTGGCTCATTGGGCTCGAGATGCTGGGGCAAAGCGTGGCCTCCAATTCTGTCTCTCTGTGGCAGTGCTGTGGGCAGGAGAAATCCTGTTTCTCTTGCAAGACAGAAGGAGCACAATAAGTCATCTTTGGCAAAAGGTAGGTAAAACGAGAAATGACCAGCAGGGAGAATCCTTGTTGTGTGCTTCCGGGGGTCATGTTTTGGTACAAAATACTGCTGTGGTTTTGTTCAGTGGCTGGATCTTCCCATCTCTCCTGCCTTTGCCCAGGTACCAACAGCATGCTTCGGCCAAAGGGAAACACTCCAGGCTCCTGGCTCTTCTGGGTGCTGCTCAGAGAAGCTGCCTCTCCATAGTGGTGCTGCTGACTCAGCCCGTGTTGCTTTGCTTTGGCCACGTTGCTTTTGGGAGGGGATACTGCCTGTGAGTGATGTTCTGGGGTAGCTCCAGCCCAATGCTGACCCAGCACTGGGGGAAAGCTGTGTGCAGAAATGGGCTAAGGCAGGTTTTGTGCTTCTTACATTAAGGTAGAGCTCAGGAGAAACAGCTTCTAAGAGGCTTAATAGCAACAGGCTTGCTTTCTGTGCTGGAAAGGGCACACAGCCAGCATCTTGCTGTCTTAATAAGCGGAATATTGCATTAAGAGTGGCCGAGTTTGCCAAGTATGACCAGAACAGCTCTGCAGCTCCTGCGGCTTCCATCTCAGTGCATGCATGTCTCTGAGACCCATTGGCTGTCGCCCTTGTGGCCGCCGTTTCCTGCTGGTCAGGGTAGCAGGATTAACTGGTGACTCAGCTGGGGCTGTTGCTTCACCTGGAGCTGTGGGTGGTGTTGCCTCTTGCTCTCCTTGTCTCCTGTTTCTGGTCAGCTGCTTTGGTGACAAAAGGAGTCAGGCCAGGGAGTGCTGGAAGATGTTACCTTACCGGGAGGGAGGTCAGCATCCGAGCAGGCAGGGGATGAGATGTGGTACCTCAGGAAGGCTGTGGGCTCAGCTGCCCTGCGAGGGCAAGGGAAGCTCCTGCTATCCCCAGGTAAGGACTCGGGGGGCTCCACTGGGGCTGGGCTCATGCAGGAGCCCTGCAGGCACGGGGGCAGGAAGGCCTGAGGCTCCAGCGTGGGCCCAGTGGGTTGGCTGGCTACTTCCAGAATAGTAAGTCCTCCTTTTCGTTACATCCCCAGTGAAGCTAAAAAGAGCACAGCCCAGTTCGTAGCTTTGTAGGTCACTGAAGGAGAAGGAGGGCTTTGCAGTGTACTGCACCTTGGGTGCTTTCCTCCTCCAGGAAGCGTTCTCTGCTGTGGCAGCTCCGCTGTACCCACTGCATGGGCTGGCCCTCCTTCCCCTGGCCTTTAAGAAAGAAACTGAACAGAGACAGGAGAAGAAGATGACCCCCATCTACCCTGGTATTGCCCTTTGAAGCTGTTTGTTTGCCTGCCACACACCACTTCAGACATCTGAGCAGAAATATTAGTAAATACAGACATCCTGGGGAGACCCTGTGCCTCTGGGGCTTTGCTCAGCTCCTGGGGGGATCAGCTCCGTGATCAGTGACGGGCAGTGGTGCTCCCTGTGATCAGCAATGGGTAGTGATGCTCCCCTGTGATCAGCAATGGGTAGTGATGCTCCTCTGTGATCAGCAATGGGTAGTGATGCTCCCTGTGATCAGCAATGGGTAGTGGTGCTCCCCTGTGATCAGCAATGGGTAGTGGTGCTCCCCTGTGATCAGCAATGGGTAGTGGTGCTCCCCTGTGATCAGCAATGGGTGGTGATGCTCCCTGTGATCAGCAATGGGTAGTGATGCTCCCCTGTGATCAGCAATGGGCAGTGATGCTCCCTGTGATCAGCAATGGGTAGTGATGCTCCCCTGTGATCAGCAATGGGTAGTGATGCTCCCCTGTGATCAGCAATGGGTAGTGATGCTCCCTGTGATCAGCAATGGGTAGTGATGCTCCCCCGTGATCAGCAATGGGTAGTGATGCTCCCCTGTGATCAGCAATGGGTAGTGATGCTCCCTGTGATCAGCAATGGGTAGTGATGCTCCCCTGTGATCAGCAATGGGTAGTGATGCTCCCTGTGATCAGCAATGGGTAGTGATGCTCCCCGTGATCAGCAATGGGTAGTGATGCTCCCCGTGATCAGCAATGGGTAGTGATGCTCCCCCTGATGAGTGATGCTCCCCGTGATCAGCAATGGGTAGTGGTGCTCCCCTGTGATCAGCAATGGGTAGTGATGCTCCCTGTGATCAGCAATGGGTAGTGATGCTCCCTGTGATCAGCAATGGGTAGTGATGCTCCCTGTGATCAGCAATGGGTAGTGATGCTCCCTGTGATCAGCAATGGGTAGTGATGCTCCCCCGTGATCAGCAATGGGTAGTGGTGCTCCCCTGTGATCAGCAGTGGGTAGTGGTGCTCCCTGTGATCAGCAATGGGTAGTGATGCTCCCTGTGATCAGCAATGGGTAGTGATGCTCCCTGTGATCAGCAATGGGTAGTGATGCTCCCCCGTGATCAGCAATGGGTAGTGATGCTCCCTGTGATCAGCAATGGGTAGTGATGCTCCCCTGTGATCAGCAATGGGTAGTGATGCTCCTCTGTGATCAGCAATGGGTAGTGATGCTCCCTGTGATCAGCAATGGGTAGTGATGCTCCCCTGTGATCAGCAATGGGTAGTGATGCTCCCTGTGATCAGCAATGGGTAGTGATGCTCCCTGTGATCAGCAATGGGTAGTGATGCTCCCCCGTGATCAGCAATGGGTAGTGATGCTCCCTGTGATCAGCAATGGGTAGTGTTACTCCTCCAGAGACTTAAAACCTGATAAGATTTCCTGCCACCTTACAGGAGGTGGCTTGGATGCAGGGAGCATGAGCTAGAATAACAGGAATGAATTCAAAGGCAGACAGGTCAGGCAGGGATGGATCTTCCCTGTGCACTGCTGGCAGGTCTGAGGCAGCCCTTGCTGCCTGTTCTGGTGCCCGTGGAGGCTTGTGCCATGCCGTGGAGGTCAGCATGCCCCAGGCAGGTTGCCAGCATGTGGCATCAGGCCAGAAGGACCCTTGGTGCCTCTTCCTCCCTAAGCAGTGACCCCAGCAGGGTGCTGCCACCTCGGCCCCGCTCCAGCACCCCTTGGCCCCAAGTTCTCTCAAACCACTGTTTGTGCCTTGCCAGGGCAGCGGGGCAGCCTTGCTGCTAATGCTTTGGGGATAATGTGGCAGCAGTGCCTCCTTGGCCATCTCTTGGGGTCCAGAGCCACCCTGGTTGTGCCCATGGGATTTTTCCAGGCTGGCTGTAGCCTGGGTGCAATTTCCCTGCTCAGTTGGGATCTGCTGGAGTGGGACTGGCTGAGAAAGCACCATCCTGGCAGCACAGGGACCCACCTCAAGGACAGCAAGAGACCAAAGGGAATGGGACAAGCAGGGTCACCTTTGCTCCTGGTCCATCAGGGACGAAGGACGGAGGGTGCCAGTATCTGTGCAGACCACAAGGGGAGCTCCTAGCCCTGCTCCCTGGGCACTGACAGCAATGTCACGGTGTCCCATGCCAGATGGCAGCCTTCCCAAGCTCTGGGCGAACAGCTCTCCTTTGTATTTCCCAATTTAGTCACATCCTACCAAATATAACCGAGCCAGAGTAAACAGGGAGATTGCGTTTTGAAGCACGTTGGAGGGGCTTTCCCACGTGCCAAGGACTCACAGCCTCATGCGTGCCATAGCGGGGGCACACGTGGGGAGGGTCCTGCTCTCCCCATGATGATGGTTGAGCAGCCGGCCCAGGCAGCACGGCAGCAGTGGCTCCTCTCCCTCTCTGTAACTCCCTTGCTGTCTCTTTTCACACAGATTTGGCGGGTCAGGCCAGCCACCGGACTCCACTGCTCAGCAGAATTGTTCTTCTCAGCTCTGCCAAGGCCTCGGAGCTCCCTGCAGCAAGGAAGAGGACAGGTAAATTCTACCCCGTGTAAAATAACGTCTCCAGCTCTAAAAGACGTTCTTACCTTAACTCACTCAGTGGCAGTATTTGGAAATGCCCTCGGGGTTTGGCACCCTCCACCTCAGAGTTTGAGCCTCAGGCTCAGGGTGTCCCCGCATCCCCTCAGGGTGCAGCGCTGCCTCTCACCGATGGTGGAGCTGGGGGCACTGTGGGCAGCTCTCACCCGTCTGCAGCACCATAACGCTGTGGCCACGGCTCTTGGCAGACCAGCTCCGTCCCGGTACTGCCAGGCACGTGGGCCGTGCAGCCACGTCCTTTGGATTCACTTCCTGTGCCAAAGCCTGTCCAGCTTTGGGGCTGTGGCCTTGTTCCTGCCTGGGGTGGGTGTGGAGGCCAGTGCAGTGGCCGCACCAGCCCCAGCCCCCTCCGTTGCCTGTCGCTTCCTTCGCCAAGCAGGGCACAGCTCTGGGCAGGTGTCTGTGCACAGCCAGACGCTGGCATCTCTTCTGAAGGCTCTGTCCTTGCAGGGCCACCCTGAACCATGTCCAGCGACCCTCCACCGCCATACCCAGGAGGCCCCTCAGCGCCGCTGATAGAAGAGAAGCACGGACCCCCCCCCGCAGCAGGTATAGGCACTGGGTAGCACTGCTGGGCACTGGGCATGGCCACTCGCAGCTCTGACCCACAGTGTGCTCCGCTCTGCTGGGGAGCATGGTGCGATACCCGGCTCCTGTCTCTGTGTCACCCTCTGGGGAAGGCAGGATGGCCCAGGGGCAGTGGCAACAGCCAGAAGCAGTCCCTGCTCAGAACCTGGCTCTGCTCGCTGCTAGGGGGTGAATTTGGGCTTCCTGTGGCCCAGAAGATGAGGCCCGGGGTGTGCTCTCCATCCCATATTGTGTTCCCCAACTTCCGTGCTGGGGCCAACCCCCAGACCACTGAGCTGAACCACCATCAGCTCTGCAGCCTCCTGCCCTGCCTGCTGACTCTGTTTCCTTTCAGATGGCATCCCTCCGGTGGTGGGACAACCCCAGGGGGTTCCCATTCCTCCTCCTGAATTTGGGCCCCCACCGTACGAGCCACCCTCGCAGCCAGGGTTCATACCCCCCCACATGCCCACAGACCCCTCTGGACCCTATGTGCCACCAGGTAAGTCCTTAAGGGGCTGTGTGAGGCAGGGGGTGGTGATGAGCACAAACCCCCCAGAAACATGTGGCTCCCAGGGAGCGGGTGGGGGGGACACAATGGGGGTTGGGGCTTGCAGAGAGGCTCCTCCGGTGGGTGGCTTGGGCTCGGCCTGGCCCCAAGTCTATACCTGGTGTGGCAGCCAGGTGGCCCCCAGTGAGGCTCTGGCCTCTCCTGCCACGCACAAAGATGCTCACCTGTGCACCTTTCTCATTGCAGCAGGTTACTACCCCCCACCAGGCCCTCACCCCTCCATGGGCTACTACCCGGCCCCAGGCCACTACCCCTCTCCTGGCGGCCACACAGCCACAGTGCTGGTCCCATCAGGGACCGCCACCACCGTGACAGTGCTGCAGGGTGAGATCTTCCAGGGCGCCCCAGTGCAGACAGTGTGTCCCCACTGCCAGCAAGCCATCACCACCAAGATCACCTACGAGATCGGGCTCATGAGCTTCCTTCTCGGCTTCTTGTGCTGCTTTGTGGGGTAGGTGCTGGAAGCAGAGCTGCGGTGGCAGAGGGTCAGGGCAGGGGCACACATGGGCTGTCTCTGGGTGCCTCAGCTCACCGCACTCTGCCTCTTGCTGTGCTCCAGGTGTGATCTCTGCTGCTGCCTGATCCCCTGCCTGTTCGATGACTTCAAGGATGTGACACACACGTGTCCCAATTGTAAGGCCTACATCTATACATACAAGCGCATGTGCTAACAGCACCCCAGGAGCCCGAGCCACTGGAATGACACCGGCCCCTCTCCCACTGCCGTCCTCGTCCCCATGCGTGCAACACTCCTTTGCTTAACTCTCCAGTGGTGTGCGTGTGTGTGTGTGTATCCCTGGCTCCCTCCCGCTCAGAGCTGTGACCGTCTCCCCAGCCTCTGGTCCTCGCTGTGAACAGCTGGATTGGTGACGCGGGTGCACAGGGAACGTGGATGCGGGCCCCAGATGCTGTGTATGGGGCATTGCTCTGCACCCCCCTCATGCTCCCAGGAGAGGGGTGCCAGTGATGCCCCTCTTGCCTGGAGCAGCAGCTGCTGGAGGCACCTACCCCTGGGTCCCCCACAGTGCAGGGGGGGTGTGGTGGGAGGGAGCTGTTGCAAGCAGGGGCAGGTGTTGCAAGCAGGAGGGGAGGGGGGACTCAAGCAGCCCACAGCACGCACAGGAGAAGCACTTTTAGGAAGGGGTTGGGTGGTGGCACGGAGACAGGGCAATGCCACACGTGCCAGGTTTCAGTGTGGGTCATGGCCTTCTCCAGCCAGAACAGCACGTAGCCAGTAGGCAGAGCCACCTTCAAGGCATAGTGTGTGTGGGGACACGTGGCAGCAGCACTGCACCCTTGATCAGCACCTCCGTCCTGCCAGAGCAGCCCAGCAATCGCTGCATGTGCTCCTGCTGCTGCTCTCACCCCCCTGCCCACTGTTAGTGACAACTGCCCCTGCCTGCCCAGTGCTGGAGGTTAGGTTAGTACCAGGCCCCCACTGGCTCGCAGCACTGCAGCAGAGCCACAGCCTGAGCCCAGCAGGGGCTGTTGGGCACGCACCCTGCACCACCCGTCCTGCCACCACCACACCCGCTGGGGTTCCCCATTGCATGTGGGTGTAGGGGTTTAGTTTTAGCTCACGTGATAGGGGTTGAAGGGGGCAAGCAGGCAGTGACAGGAGCTGCCCACAGCACTGTGACAGAGGAGGGCAAGGGGACCCCAGAGCGTTTTTGGCCTTTGTGGCAGCCCCTCCCTCCCCAGGCCCCACAGCCAGGGCAGCTAGAGCGTACAGCCCCTGGGTCAAAACAGGGGTCTCAGCCTGTACGTCTGCATTCACAGCTGGGCCTGCACAGGCACCTGCCTTTGCTCAGAGGTGGAACTGTGGCACTAGTTTGTCTTTTTACATAAATAAATAACAGACCCTCAACTCTCCTGTGCATCTTTTTTCTCCCCTGCTCCAAATCCACGGCAGATCTGTTCCCAAGGGAAGCTGAGGATGAGGAGGGATGGCATGGCACAGCATGGCTGGGCACAGCAGTACCAAGCACTAGAGGAAGAACAGCCCCAGTGGCAGAGGCTCTGGGGGGTCACAGCTGTCAGCTGCAGTTGGGGTCACCCCAGCTCTGCCCTGTTTGTACCCAGACACTCAGCTGAAAAGGAGAAAAGCCCCTGACACTGGGCCAGAGGAAGGCAGAAGGGCATCCCCTCACCCAGCCCAGGGGTCTTTCTGCCCTGGTTCCTGTCCTCAGCGGAGCTGAGGGTTCTGTTTCTCCCAGGAGAAGCAGCAGGGACAGAGCCAGGTGTAAGGGCAGAAGCATCTGCAGGCATCAGAGATGAGTACAACAGCACCAGAGGCTGTCCCCACTCTGCTTCTCCCATTGACCTCCCCCCCAAGCCTTCCACATTGCACCCCAGCCTTGCACCTCATGGTGGACACTCACTGGCCCAGGGATGTGCTTCGGCCTTACCCCACCTACAGCATTGCACCTTTTTATTCCAGTCAAGGCTTCAGAAAAAAACCAACCCAACTCCACTGCAGCACAACAGACATCCCTCGCCCCCATCCCCCAATGGTCCTGTCCCCCCATGGACCTTCCTCCCTGAACAGTTAACTCCAGTTAACTGGATCCCTGTGACACAACCAAACAGGCCTTTGAGCTAATAGGGCACAATCGACACTTCAGTTTCCCTCAGGGTATGACACCTGAGAAGGCTGACAAAGGTCGCAGCCCACAGCAGGAAACTCCATCCAGCAGCTGCTCCCAGGAAGGAGATGGAAAACCAAGTGAGTGAAGCCTTTGCCAGTACAGCACAGGACAGCTCCAGCCTTAAAAGCTGCCCCAGCTTGGGCAGGGCAGCACTGCAGGGGAATCCTCACACCCTCAGTCTTGTGCACTAGTCAGCTAAGACATTACATTACAGTGCTTGCGTTATTGGTGTGCAAAGAGTCTTCAACAGTCCCACAAGATTCCTGTTTATTTTCTTGCTTCCACCATGCAGGCAACAGCAGTGGCAAGGGAACAGCTGGAAAAGGATGTCTGTCTCTCCCCTTCCCATGAGCGGAGCCACAAGCCACTGCTCCCATCACATCATGTACCAGGCTGCAGCTCCTGCCAGCACCGCAACGCAGGCAGCCAGCATCAGCTGCACCAGGGGCTGCTTTGCCAGGGCCACGGTGCTATGGTAGGGACAGCTGGGTCCTGCCTTACCTGCTGGAACACAGAACATGCCGTTAGTGCTGCAGGTCTCACACCACACGCATGTGGCAGCTGTGTCATCGTCCACAACCTACCAAGCTTGTCTGCATAGTAAGGGCATTTGCGCAGGTCTCCTTTTCCATCATGGACTGGAAGGCCTCCATCTTGGGCTTCTGCCAGTGACTTGCCAATCTTGTCCAGTTCATCAAACACCTGCAAGTGGTCACAGCATGCACATGAAGTGGGCAGAGGCAGGCGGCTTTCGCCCAGTCCCTGAAACAACCCGGAGAAGAGGCAAGAGCCTCTCCTGCCTCCCTCCCCCAGAGGCAGCACATGCTTCTCACTTTGGAGTGTCTTGCAGGCAGTCCTGTGGTGACACCTGGCATGTGCTATAGCTCTGAGAGGGCACAGCCCCTTCAAGAGCATCAGGGCAGACCCAGGAGTGAGGTGGACCCATCATGGCCCCACTGCTCACTGCCCAGCCTGCTGCGGGTGGGAGTACAGGCGATGCACTCCCTGCTGCAGACCCTCCCTGGGAGAACTGCTTCTGGTCATGCAGGGTTCAGGCAGCCCCGCCAGCATTGCTGCAAGGAGCTTCCCTAAAGCTCCTGACAAAGGAGCCACAATTCTGGCCAGCTTAGACCACAGTGACCTGCTATAGGCACAGATGAAAGCTTCCATCCAGTAGCTAAGATTATATTCATCCTCCCAGAGCAAGTGGCAGCTCGGTCAGGGTTTATGAAAGGCAAATACTATGAGGAAGACAAGAGGCTACAGACATTTCTGTCCACTGGGCAGTGTGTCAAGAGTTGAGACAGGAGATTAATTGTAACCAGTGTACGTAACAAGCTCACTGTCTGGGGCTGTCTCAGAGCGAGAGCTCTGCTCTCCCCATTTCAGAGCCAACAGCCCACAGAAAATCTTGCAGTGGAGTCATCTCAATTTTGCTCAGCGGTGATGTTGGAGCATGGGAGGAATTCCTGCCCAACACCAGCCATGTCTCCAGAAGCTAGCAGAAGAGCTATTTAAACTAGAACCCCAGCCCCCAGGAAAGGAGGGGCTCTGGTGGCCTCAGACCCAAACCAGTGCCTGGGTGAGCAGCCTGACTCAATCAGTCCGGACCCAAGAGCTGGTCCAGATTCAAAAACAGCAGCACCCACACACAGGGGGCTCAAGGGATTCCATACCTGCATGTTAAATCTGAAGGCTCGGTTGGCTTCGTCCACAATCCTTTCTTTGGTGGTCTTGTCCAAGTCCAAAGCGTTCATCCTTGCCCTGTAGAGCTGCTTGAACTGCTGCGCATTGGAGATGTTACCAAACACATAGAACTGGATCCCTTCCTCAGTACTGGGCAACTTGAGGGCTCTCTGGGCTACCTTCTTCAGCACTTGGCCACCCGAGAGGTCCCCCATATAGCGTGTGTAAGCGTGAGCCACTAGCAGCTCTGGCTCGTTCTGTCCCACATGATGGATTCTGTCCACATACTGCTGAGTTGCCTCTGAACACTGGATCTTCTCTTCCCAGTCTTCTCCATAGAAATATTGCAGGTCTTTGATCAATGCTTCTTTCCGGTGAAGCTCTAGGGGGAAGTACAGAGCAGCAAAGACCGGGTTGTCCTTGTTGCGATCCATTTCCTCTTCCAGAGCAGAGTACGTGAAGTAAAGTGCCACAGTGGCCAGCTACAGACAAAGCACAGTGTGAGAAGCCATTCACTACATCAGCACATGACACCTTCTGGCTGCCCCCGCCTGCACAGACCTGGAGTAAACAAGGAGGAAACTCCCAGGATTGACACAAAACCAGCCTGGAGAGCCTGTGCAAGACACAGATCGTTTGAAGGATGAGATGTTCTTCTCTGGCTACATTCATAGAAACATAGAATCACAGAATAGCTAGGGTTAGAAAGGACCTTAAGATCATCCAGTTCCAACCCCCCTGCCACAGGCAGGGACACCTCACACTAAATCATGACACTCAAGCCTCTGTCCAATCTGGCCTTGAACAATGCCAGAAATGGACAATTCACAGCTTCCCTGGGCAACCCATTCCAGTGCCTCACTACCCTGATAGTAAAGAATTTCCTCCTTATATACAATCTAAACTTCCCCTGGTTAAGTTTTAACCCATTACCCCTTGTCCTACCACTACAGTCCCTAATGAAGAGCCCCTCCCCAGCATCCCTATAGGCCCCCTTCAGATACTGGAAGGCTGCTATGAGGTCTCCACGCAGCCTTCTCTTCTCCAGGTTGAACAGCCCCAACTTTATCAGACTATCTTCACAGGGGAGGTGCTCCAGTCCCCTGATCATAACAATGATGCCTTCAGAGCACAAAGAATTAGCCTGGTGTTGCCAGCTCTGTGCTCTGGGGTGGCCTTCTGTCATCTTGAGAGCAAGGCACAGGGACAAAAGGTACAACTAGCACCAACAGCTTTGTGCTACAGGAGACTACTACCATACGCCAAAATCTTCAGGATCGGACCCAAAACACCATCTCTTCTGTACAGGATGAGATTGCTCCTCATCCTCCTACCTCAGCCATAGGATACACCAGGCAGAAGTCCTGGACAAGAGCCCTCCTACAGTTTTGACTGTGCCACCTAGAAACTGGATTCCTCGCCACCCCCTGCACACAGGGCTGCAGGGCCCTGCCGGAGTCTGCATCGGTCACTGGACACATCAAAGAGCTGCTCTGCCACAGGAGCAGAGCAACACTCACCTTGAAGAGCTCCTCTTTGATCCGTCCTTTCAGGAAGTCTTTGACAAACTGGGTGTTCTCCGCAAGGTCATGGGATTCCTTAGTCCCCTCCTTCAGCAGCTCTGAAAGGTCAGTGGGACTGCAGGCAAACAGGGAGAGCTCCTTTTACCCCCCTTACACACACAGGAATGAGTTTGTTCCTGCTGTGTTTGGAGGGATCCCCCACTCCCTGTCATCTCCAGCCCAATTTGGAAAAGGTACAACTTGGGACTTCTGCAACAAGGCAGAACCAGGAGGGTGGCAACAACCACAGGCTCCTTCCACAGATACAGGCACCCATGTGCAAACCAGACTTGCCATTCCAGGAGCACTGGACCCACCAGGGGCTCACCCCAAAGTTGCTTCAGCAATTGACAAGCATCCTCTGACCCCTGCATCTTACTTTAGCTTCTCATCCATAAATGAGAAGCATCAGTACTTCAAAAGGAGGCCTTGAGCGTACAAGGAGCAACCACCAGGGAAGGCTAAAGGGCACAGAAGCCTTACTGATTACCCTTCAAGGTCACTCTGTAGAAGAAGAAAGGCTCATGTAAGACCAAATGAGAGCTGAACAGAAAAACAGGGCAAGAACACCCTGAAAAAGTGTATTTATCCGGAATTTTCCTGGTTTTGAAGGTTTCCACAAGTCAGCTAGTAAAAATAATAAGTAAAACCTATGATTTTTGGCTATAGCCACTAGACCTACCTGGAGTTTGGTACAGAGTTCTCAAATGCACTCAAAGTCACACCAAATTGCACTTCCCAGGTTTTCTGACTAGTCTGCTACAGATAGCTGCAAGAGTCACTCCAGATCCATCAAGTGGCCATGCAGCCACGCAGCATGAAACTGTCTCAACTCAAAGAGAAGTCAACCAGCACGGAATACCTAGGTATTCTGGGAAGCATCCTGCTCGCTCCTCCCAAGTCTGAAGCCTCGACTTTCAGAGCATGTGTGTGAATTTGTTGTTTAACCTCCAAGACAACAGTCTTGCCTAAACCGGTGGGCATTCTGCAAAGGCAAGAGAGGCAGCTCGCTGGAGCACAGTTCACCTCAAGGTTCATCTTTCTAACTGAGAACCTGCCATCACATGAGTCTGCCCAGCAAACCATGGAAAACTGGCTCGCCTTGGCCAAAAAGGCACAAACACAACTGCCAAATGGTGAAAGCATTTCTGAACGGCAAGTAATAGGAGAGACTAAAAAACACCAAGTGCTTGCTGCCAGCTTTAGCCAGATTGCTCCTTCCCATCACTGCTGGAACACTTTGATTAAACAGATTTACTGCACATATATATTTGATTAATCAGCTGTTGGAGTCCCCCACCCCTTTTCTGATGAGGAGAAACATCACACCCCTTAACCTGGAAGGTCTCCTGCCTTACCCAATACTGTCTGTGCCACATTGTGAGACAGGACTCACCTGACATTATCATCTTCTGTTTCCTCATAGAGCAACATTTCCCTTTCTCGCCTCTCTGCGCTCTCCATTGCAGGCGGTGTTGCTGGTTAGTGCTGGAGATGAGACAACCTGAAAGGCAAAACCAGAGAGGGGTTTTAGAGGGAAGCTGCTTCATGAAGGGACGGGTCTGAAATGCTGAGCCATACAGCAAGCAGCCTCTGAGCTGCTCCACCAGGCACGGTGGTGAGGAGCAGCCACTGGCCATTTCCACAGCACAGCAGGCACTTTCAAGGAAGCAATCTTGCTTGTTCAGTTCAATTACCCCAGTGAACCTCAGCACTAACACCACCCAGCTCACCAAATGTTAGCCTCAGAGGAGACCTACAACACAGCATGCAGCATTTGGTTTCGCACTTCAGGATGGCTCCTGGCTGAAAATGATCAGAGACCTCCACATTAGCTATCTGGACCAAAATTGTGAGCAAGCTGCTTTCCACTGGTGCTACCAAACATTTCATCCAATGCCAGACTCTGAGCAGAGATACTTCATTTGCACAGTGGTACAGAGCTTTCCCTAGAGGAAGGCAGTGGTGAATTAGGGCAGGAGTCAGGCAGCTCACAGCGAGACAAACACCTTCCCTGCAAGGGAGTATACACAGAGGAACTTCCAAAGCAAGGACAAATTTCACTGCTCTGCCTTTTCTGGGCTGTACTGCATGTGAGGGGTCAAAACGGCTGCTGCAGATGGCTCCTGGTACCATTCACACTCTCCTCTCCTAGCAGGGTTTACTTCAAACCCCAGAAGTAACTGAGTTCTCTCTCCTCTTTCGCGAAAGGAAACAAACAAAAAAATCTCCATGGATGTAGCAGGACACCCAAAGACCTACCCAGAAGCAGGAGTGAGACACCAGACTTATAGCCCAGTTACCTCTTAAGCAGAAATCCACCCACCTCATTTACAAAATAGACCTGTAATCAGCTTTGTGCAGAGCAGTACCATCAGCTTACAGGCAGCCTTGCCAGATCAACAAGGAACTAAGCTGCTTCCTGGCTCTTGGAAAGCACTCACTGTAAGAGAGCCAACCCTCACACTCTCCCATTTGAGGTCAGCCCCCTCAGGCCTAGAAGACCAGGCAGACAGCTGCAAGTTCACCAAGCTCAGCACAGGGCCAGCACCAGCACACCAACTGCTGGCTCCCAGCTCACATGGAGCACCCCAGCTATACATTAACTGCCCTCTAGCTCCTCACCCACAGTTTCTGAAGCCCTGTTCTACAGCCACTTGCACTGCCCTCCACATGCAGCACAGGACTCGGCCAGGAGCACTGGGAGCTGGGTCTGAGCACCCAGTTTGGAGGACACATCACCAGGGTGATGGTTTCCCCTGTGATCACACAGTCCTTGGGCTCACTGGGACAGAGCCATCCCCAAGGAGAGGGCTGACCACAGTACAGTACTCTGTGATGCCCATTGCAGGAACAGAAGTCACAGGGGAAGCAGCCCCACATCCCCAGGGCCCTGCACCACAGGATAGGACACAGCACAGCCTCCCCAGCCGGAGGGTAGAGGAAGCCAGGTTCAAGGGCGCTATTTTCATTTTGATCACTCACTGGACAGCAAGCACCACACCGGGTCAGCAAACTTGTCACAGCTCCGAACATCCACCATGGGGAAGGGAAACTGAAGCACAGAGGCAGAACCTGCCCAGGCTGAGCCAGGAGCTGGTTGCGGGCCCAGAGGAACAGCCTGCCTGCCTCACAGCACAGCCAGCCTCCTGCCAGCACAGCTGCACAAGTCCTGATGGCATCCTGGCTTCCTGCGCAGCTGGCTTCAAGTCAGGCACTCCTCAAGAAATGCAGATCCCAAAATTAAACTAGAGAAAGTGGTTCCAATTTATCTTATACTTCCAGACAGGCAGAGTCCTGCAGGTAGGGTGTGCTGCCTCTGCGTGCTGACAGGCCTGCAGCAAACGGCACAGAGGAGCAGGTGAGAGCAGAGCTACAAAGAGCACTTCAGCACCACCCTGCAGACAGCAAGAGGCCTGGAGGTGGCTTGACATTCCATCCAACCCAAAGGAAGCCACCAGATCAAGCCTCAGACATGACTAGTTAACAACAGCAGCAATGGCTCAAAGCTCCCAATGGCCAGACATACACAGCATGACTCCAGAGATCATCATTCTACAAGACACATCTGCTAACTCACTTGACAGAGCCTCTGCATCCATCTCGTGCAACACACTCATGTTAAGCAGCACTCGCCAGCACTCGGACTTTGCTCTCCATGCCATGGGGCATCTGCTGGGCTCTCAGAAGCCTTTACCCTAGGGTATCACATGAGAACTCAGAGGAAGGGAAGTAAAAATCACTGTATCCCTTACCATTACACATCCCTTTTATTCAGAAAGTGGTAACTGAAAGCTCACAACATGGTCACTGCTCAGGGCCCTCATTTCTCGCAGTTTTGCTCCCTTGCCAGAGGCAGTGTCCTACTCACCAAGCAGGCGGCTCAAGCAGCTGCCCCCTTCCTCTGCAGAGGCTGGAATGTCATTTCATTTGCTTCATGAGCTCTGTTCATCAAGACCTGGCTGATGTTCAGGGTAAACACATACCTTCCTGGTGCCCTACCAGCAGCCTCCTGGGAGGAATCCAACAGCTACAAGAGGCAGGACAGTGGGGCTGGAGATTGGAGACAAGGCTTGGTACAAAACACCTCAGCACTCCAAACATTTATTTCCCAATAACAGTGTTCAAGCCCTCTGAGAAAACATCCCTATCTCATCTAGCCAGCACTTAGTTTGCCCCTGACACATTTCCACAGCAAGTTTCACACTCAAGATGCACAGCCATTCTTCTCAGGGTAGGAAGACACTTAATCCCAACAATCCAGTGCCTTCTGACACTGCTGTGGCAGGGAAGCAGGACTGAAGCCCTGGCTTTGCTTTGGCACCCTTGGGAGAAGCTCAGTAATTTGCAAACACCCAGGTGGTACAGAGTTCAAGTTTGCTCTTCAACCAGTTTACAACTTCAGGCTATTTGCCCACATGCAGAACTTGCATCCTTGCTTTAACAAGCAGCAGCAGAGCGTGGCTGCACCTACCCAAGCATCACAGCTGTGGAGACAAACCCCAGAACCCCAGGCCTAGCAGCTTGAAGAGCAATCACAAAGGTAACCTGGCACTCACATCAGAAGAGCTTCACACCTTCTCCTCCTCCCCTGGGGAGGTTTTTTGGCTGTAAATGGCACCTCACAGAATAATTTTTACACTGCCTTACCCCAGGTAGGTTCAAAACTTCAACTGGACATAGCCTATATCTAGGAAATAATTCAAGTCTAAGGCACTTTAAGAGGTGCCCATGTAAACGCTACCTCTGTCCCCCACAGCCACAGTCCAGCACCTCAACAACGTGACCAAGGAAGGAAATTCCTGGTAAGTTCACAGATCTTGTCCAGTTCTGCACTTGGGTAATCAGCCCTTGTGACAGGGACTGCATCCAGAATCTGTTTTCTCATACTGCCTGGGAGAACAGCACAAGGGGCACATCACTCGACCAGCTTTGCACCTGGGGAGACTAGCAATGGAGTGTGACAGGCACACATGAACTTACCAACAGCCTTTGCTGTGCGGAGAGCCAGTACCTGCCCTGCCCATCCCAGCATGCAGTCAGCTGTGCCTGGGATATTCCAAGCAGGGTCAGTGACAGGCACTTATAGCTGATGTATGTAAAGCAGTGCTGTGCTAGGCACTAAGAGGCTTGAAAAACATATCTGTTTCACCCAACAAAGGAAAAGCTGGGGCAGCAATAGGCTTCATACGCCTTTGTCCATCAAGCTCTTCATTTAGCTCAGCAGAATCAAGAATTATAGAACCACAGAATGGCTGGGGTTGGAAAGGACCTTAAAGCTCATCCAGATGCTAGTCCTGTCTCGAGCAGGGACACCTTCTACTAGCACAGGTTGCTCCAGGCCCCATCCAACCTGGCCTTGAGCACTGCCAGGGATGCAGAAGAGCCAAGTGCCCCCAGGACACCAGCAGAACCCGGCGCAGCTCCTGTCCTGAAACACTCAAACATCCTCCTAGAGGAGCTGTGTGCAGGAACCACTGCAGGGTATGAGGCAGCCGTTCTGGAACACTCTCCTCAGCTACTGTGTGGACGCTCGCCCACAGGAGTCGAGGGAAGAGATGCGGGAGGCCTGACAAGCACTGGCCCGGCACAGCCGCACACAGCCTCGCTGCTCCCGAGCACACGGCTGGCAGACGCAGCACAGGACCCAGCACAGCTTGAGGCCCAGGCCACAGCCACGGGCCAGGAGCTGCTCCCGGGAGCGGCCGTCCAGGGCTCGCGGGGTAAAGGCACACGGACAACACCCTCACAAGTCCCGCACGGGTTTCCCCGCCAAGAATCCCCGGTACCGGGCCCACATGTCCCGGGAACCGGAAGGGGGGGGGCGGGCCCAGCGCAGCAGATCCCTGCTGGAGTTGGGGGAGACCCGCGGGTAATCCCGAGGGCCTCAGCCCGGGGCCGCCCCGCAGCGTTGCCATGGACACGCGCGGCGCGCACTCACCCTCTGCCTCTGACGCAGCCCTCGCCACCCGCCCTCCGGCCCACGGCGTGAAATCAACGCCCGGCCCGGCCGCCCCGAATTTATCACCTACTGGGGGGAGGGGGCAGCGCAGCCAATCAGGAGCCACCCCCGGCACGCAACCGCGCCGCCGATTGGTGGAGGCGGCCGAGACACCGCACAGCCGCCCTAAGTCCCCGGCCCCGCGTCCTTTCGCCTCCCCTCGGCCAATGGCGACTTCCGAGCGAAGCGTAAGCACCCGCGCAGGCGCAGTCGGGAAGGCAACGCGGCGGAGCTCAACGAACGTTTATTGCGCGGGGCCATTGCGAGCGGCACCAGCCATGGGAGCCGACCCTGGGGGTTACCCGGTCCCAGCCCTGCCGGGGCAGGGGCACCCGAACGTCTCCAGGCAGGGCTTGGACGTGCCCAGAGATGGAGCCTCCACATCCCCCTGCACACCTTGTTCAGTGCTCTGCCACTGCAATGGAACAAGTTCTTCGTCGTGTCGAGGTCAAACCTCTTGTGTTTCAGTTCATGGCCACTGCTCCTCATCCTGGGGCTGCCCACCACTGAAGAGTCAGGCACCTTCCTCCTGACACCTGCCCCAAACCTCTAACTCGCTCCCTCCACCGGCTCTCCCCTTCTTTATCTCTGAGGGCTCACTCTCCTAGGAAGAAACTGCTTTCACCCTCCACAAGCAGGGTGGTCAATGGGAGTGGGAGACACCAGGCTTTGCTCACAGGGTATCAGACCTCACTGCTCCCCACACTCACCCCACCTAGGGCTCCCCACCCTTGTGGGTCTGCTGGTGCCGGGCGAGCGCCGAGCTCACTCTGAAGGCCTTCCCGCACTCGGCACAGACGTAGGGACGCTCCCCGGTGTGGATGCGTTGGTGCTGGATGAGGCGGGCACGCTGCCGAAAGCTGCCCCCGCAGTACGCGCAGGAGTAGGGCTTCTCCCCGGTGTGGATCAGCCGGTGTTGCATGAGAGCGGAGCTGTGGCCGAAGCTCTTCCCACAGTCCGTACACTTGTAGGGTTTCTCCCCACTGTGGACCTGCTGGTGTCGTGCCAGGGTTGTGCTAATCCTGAAGGACGTCCCGCATGTCCTGCACTCGTAGGGTTTCTCCCCAGTGTGCACCCGCTGGTGCTGGACGAGCTTCTTGTTATCAGAGAAGCTCTTCCCGCACTCTGAGCACTTGTAGGGCTTCTCCCCCGTGTGGACCCGCTGGTGTTGTGTCAGGGCTGCGCTGACGCTGAAGCTCTTCCCGCAGGTCCTGCACTCGTAGGGTTTCTCCCCAGTGTGCACCCGCCGGTGCCGGATGAGCTGTGTGTTGTCGGAGAAGCTCTTCCCACACTCGGAACACTTGTAGGGCTTCTCCCCAGTGTGGGTTACCTGGTGCCGCATCAGCTTCGAGCTCACAGTGAAGCTCTTCCCACACTCGAAACACTTGTAGGGCCGCTCTCCTGTGTGGATCCTCCGGTGAGGAGTAAGTTGTGACTGGTGCTTGAAACTCTTCCCACATTCAATGCAGGTGAAGCGTTTTTCTCCGGTGTGGATTCTCCGATGCTGGATGAGGTTGGAGCTCACCTGGAAGCTCTTGGATCTCTGAATCCTTTCTGAACTGTGTGGGAGAACAGGGTCCTGTGCAACACCCTGGGAACTGTTCTCCTTGGAGAGTCCTGAGCATAAACCCTTGGACTCCATTGGTCTGGGGCTGCCTTGATGGGCATTGTCTTCATTCATGCTCACAATCCCATCTTCAGCTGCAATAAAATGAAAATCCAGACAAGTCACAGGCAGGACTGGAAGCTTTGGACAGGGCAAATCCCAAGGGGCAACAGAACCACAGGATGTTTTACCTGGAATGGACCTTACAGATCACATCCAGTTCCAGCCTCCTGCCATGTGCAGGGAAACCTTGCACAAGACCAGGATGCTGCAAGCCCCATCCAACCTGGCCTTGAACACTACCAGGGATGGAGCAGCCACAGGACCTCTGGGCAACCTGTGCTGGCACCTCAGCACCCTCACAAGGAACAACTTCTTTCACCTTTTCTACATCTCCCCTCTGTCAGTTTAAAGCCATTCCGCCTTCTCCTGTCCCTGCCTGCTCTTGTCAAAAGCCCCTCTCCACATTTCTTGTTGGGCCCTTTAGGTGCTGGAAGCTGCTCTAAGATCTCCCCAGAGCCTTCTCTTCTCCAGGCTGAACAAGCCCAGATCTCTCTGCTTGTCTGCATAGGATGTTACTAAAAGTTGTACTGGGAGTTAGAGGAAGGCCATAAACAACTGCCTTGTTCAGAACATTATTTGGGTTACAACAGTAATCTCCATGCTCTTGTGCTGCTGGTACTGCAGAGAAAGAGAAGATGTATAAGGCATGAGACACGGACACTGCCTGGAGCCTGGCTTATACCAGTCTTAGTGCTGAAGCAAATTAACTGTATGCCACAGACAGGATGGAAAAAGGATGTTTCTGGCAGGACAGCATGAAGCTCTTGACCCATTCGTCAGACTTACGGAGTAGAGAGTGGAGCTAGCCAAGCTGTTCTGTTGCCACTGTGTCCAAAGAGATACTGACTTTGGCACTTACATAGAAGTTTGCTTCTTTAAATAGACCTTGAAAAAGCCTTCAGAAGCATGTGACAATTAAGTTTTCTATGGTGTTCTATACTTTTGGGGGAAGATCAGGAGTGTCAAGATTCTTTTTACAATTATTGTCACGGCTCTAGCGAATCTACAGTCATTTCTGCTACTTCTGAGCTACCAGATACCTTCACTGGCACCTAGGACATGCTGTCTGTAAAGGCCTTGATAAAAGCAAGACAGGAACTCACTGAAAGTATTTCAAGTGGAAGGAGAGCAAGGTCAATGATGAGGATTTAATACTAGAAGCATAAGGCTGAACTGGCAAAAATGAACATGCAAGAGAGACATGAAGAATGTGGCTCTCCCTCAGCCCACGCCAATTTAGGTTGATGGCAAGACCTCTGATATGCCCAAGACTGCCAGTGCTATAGCTACAAGGCAAGCTCCAGGTAAGCAGAGAAAAGGGACATGTGGGGTCCAGAGGCATTCCCGAAAGACATTCATCCTTCACCAAAACTGCTAAAGAAGCTAAGCTGCTGTGGCATGAATGAACCTGACAGGGTGGTAAGGAAGGGAAAAGGGAGGTGCAAACATTTGCTGATGACTTTGTGTTCCTCAGGGTTAAAGACACAAAGGCTGACTACAAACTGTGGCAGAGCCTTGAGATACTGACCAACCAGGTGACAGGGGACGGTCACTGCAGGTAAACAAAGACCTTCACAGGAGAACAGCCTCTACAGCTTGCACTTACACCAGGCTGGGCCTAGGATGTTCTTGATATCATTCAGGAATAGCACCTTGGAGTCTGAGCAGCTGGATGAAAACTGCAGCTCCTAGGCACACAACACAGCCAGTCAAGCATCAATGAGTGCTGGGGGGAAAGAACAGAGAAGAAAAGAGAAGGAAATTCTGCCTTGCTGCTCAAACCCCACATTCTGACTGTGTGCAAGGGGGAGGACGGATCCCCCATGTCAGAGACACTCTGACAGAGCTGAGGAAGACAGAGGCATGACAGGAACCATCAGAGGCACAGAACAGATCCTGTATAGGAGAGGAGTCAACTGCCCATTCTGCTGGGAAAAGGTACAGCTGATAGGGGTATCACAGAGGACTATAAAAACACAAGTGGCCTGTGGGGGGGTTTGGCATCTATCCTGCACCATCTGTTCTAAATTAAGAACTCCTGCCAGCAGTAAAAGGCACTTTCAAAGCAAACTAAAGGAGGCAGCAATTCATAAATCACCTAAATAAGCTGGGGAACTCCTTGCTGCAAGCTGCCATGGATGCTACAATGTGCGCAGCTTGAGAAGGCAAGAAGAGAGATCTTGAGACGTTATGTGCCTAGTTCAGGAGCTTCTGAAGCCACAGATGCCTCAGGCCTGTGAAAGGATACAGGGACACATCACTGCTTGTCTGCCCTTCTCTGGGTCTTGATCAGGGGCTGGGCCTGCTGCCTGCTGTATGAGGAAAGGCCGAGAGAGGTGGGCTTGTTCTGCCCAGAGAACAGAAGGCTCAGGGGAGACCTGATCACCACAGTCCACTATTTAAGGGTGGCTATGAAGAAGACGGAGGCTCCCTTTTCACAAGGGGTCCCATGGAAAAGACGAGGGGTACAAGTTACTCCTGGGCAGATTCTGGTTGGACACAAGAGGAAAACTTTTCCCAGTGAGAACACCCAGCCATTGCAATAATCTCCCCAGGGAAGAGGTGCACTCCCCACTGTTGGATGCTTTAAAGACTCAGCTGGACAGGGCACTGGGACATCCAGTCCAGGTCATGCTTTGCCTGGAAAAGTTGTACTGGATGATCCTTGAGATCCCTCCCAGCCTGGTGGCCTGTGGTGCTATGAATACCGTTGTCACAGGCAGCAGGTGAAGCTGGACAGGCCCTGCTCCAACCCAGCACCGCCGCCCTTCTACATTCTGGGGGCGCTGGTGCTCCCGCAGCACTCTTTCTCATGACGGGTTCACACTCACGGCCCTTACCTGAGGTGCCGCTCAGAGCACTCTTCCCTTCGCAGGAGCGGGGACGGGACAACCGCAGTTCCTCCTTCTGATCCATGTGCATGAGCATCTCCGGCTCCGCTCCGGGGGCCTGCTCCGGGGAAAGAAACGAAGAGGGTCAGGCGAGCTGGCCTTTCACCGACCGCTACCAGCGGCGCGGCTCGGGAGCTAGCGGCTCCGCGCCGAGCAGGCACCCCGGCTCCAGGAGGCGTGCAGAGGAGAGCAAAGGGCCCCGCAGCACCCCCTGCCAGGGAAGCTCACGCGGCCGCGGTGGGCGGGCTTCCGGGCCAAGCCCTACCGGGTCAGGCCCCGCTCCCTGCGGCCCGGCCAGGCCCGCCCTCAGCGGCTGGACCGGCGCACCAGGGGGCGCTGCCCCGTGACGGCAGCGACCAACGGCGGGCGCTGCCTTCGCCTCCAAGGCCGGAGGAAGGTGGCGGCGCTGGGCTGCCGGTGGCGATGGTGCCGTCCTACGGCGAGGCTCCCCCCGCGGGCCTGTCGCTACCGAGGGATATAAGGAAAGGGAGTGCCTGGAAAACATAGGGTTAAAATACTTTTAGCTTAACTTAGGTCTAAGATGGAGAACAATGTTTGCGGTGTAAGTCTGTGGTGTCATAACAGAATTTAGTAGTCTTACTAACATGAGTGAACTATTTCTTACCATCCTTCTAGTTACCAGTTAGTTTGGGGACAGTGACTCCCGAACATCTGCTAGCTTAGGATACTCCTTGTCTGCCCATCCTGTTCTGCTTGCAGTATTTCCTGCCCTTGCCTTCTTCAGGTATGAGAGGATACTGGACTGCCTGGAGGGGTGTCTGATTGGCAATCCCCACTTTCCTCTTGTGGTGGTTCCTGTCTCACAGGTGGTTTATTGTGATAAACACATAAATGTATTGGCTTTCGCAAATCATAGGTGTCGTTATGTGTGACCTTCGTGCAAAATCGATTGCCTCTCAAGCTAGCAGATGTTCCGGAGTCACTGTATCCAAACTAACTGATACTTAGAAGGATGGTAAGAAATAATTCACTCATTACAGGGATGAAAGGAAACAATTCACTCTTGTTATTAAGACTACAAAATTCTATTATCACACCACAGACTGACAACACAAACGTTGTTTTCTTAGACCTAAACTGAAAGTATTTTAAGACTGTTGTCCAGGCACTTGCTTTCCTTATGTCCAGTCCCCCTTTCTTTTACCTTTGCAAATTCTTTTGCTATGTATCATGTCACAAGTAATCAGTGTTAAAACAATTAGTATTAATATTTCTGCAAGCAGTTACCTCAAACAGGAGAGATTAGGTAACCATGAAGTTAACTTTTTCCATATTTCTTCAAAACCCCAAGAGGTATCATCCTTGGTCATCTCATGAAATACTGTGGTTTGTTTCCAAATTTCCTCCAGATCTCTGTCAATTCTGCCACTTTGTTCTATATAGGAACCATCGATTATGGAACAAACCCCTCCTCGTGAAGCCAATAACCTGTCTAGAGACATTTGGTTCTTGGAACAATTTTGCACTTAAGTGCAAGCCTTGGTCAGAAGAAATTGCTGCTGGTACTCCAAAATGAGGCATTATCTTGTTTAATGCTTCTGGCCAGCATGAAAAAGTATCCGTTAACACCAACAAATATCGCTAACCCCCTTTTCTCAGTAATTCAGAAAAATCTATTTGCCACTGCTGTCCCGGGTAACTTCCTCTCCCAAGTTCTCTTATGTTTCCCCTGAACTCGCTTCCACAGTTGATTATAGGGATTTACAATTTGCCCACCAGGTATCTGAACCCAACCCTCTTTGTTTTCCTGCCTTTTCAGATCTTCAATCAACTTTTTATCCTCTTTTGAATATCTAGGTTCAGATTTCTCAATTGTTAGTTTGCCGTCAGGGGTTAAGGACATGATTTTAGATTGTTCAGCTGCTCGTTCGGCTTCAAAATCGGCCAAATTATTTCCAATTTTCTGATTAGGGTCACCTTGTTGATGTCCTCTACAATACATAATAGCTACTTCCTCAGGTAGCTGAACAACAGTTTCTGTAGCATGTTTAGTCTGTTTCCCTTGTATGTTCAAAAGTCCTCGTTCTTTCCAGATAGCACCATGTGCATGGACCACACCAAATGCATATTTAGAACCAGTCCAAATATTTATCCTTTTATCTTTAGCCAGTTCCAGGGCTCTCATTAATGCTATTATTTGAAAAAAAGGCTTATAAAAAGTGGAAGCAAGGACAGGCGGCCTGGGAAGAGTACAGGGATGTTGTCCGGGAAGCTAGGGACCAGGTTAGGAAAGCTAAGGCCCAGTTAGAATTAAACTTGGCTAGGGATATTAAGGATAACAGGAAGGGATTCTACAGGTACATAGCAAATAAAAAACAGACTAGGGACAACGTAGGCCCCCTCAGGAAGCTCTCAGGTGAACTAGCTACACAGGATTTGGAGCAGGCTGAGGTTCTGAATGACTTCTTTGCCTCGGTCTTCACTGGCAAAGGCTCTGACCACACCACCCAAGTCTTGGAAGGCAGACGCAGGGACTGTGAGAATGAAGACCTTGGGCCCACTGTAGGAGAGGAACTGGTTTGAGACCATCTTAAAAATCTGAACGTGCACAAGTCCATGGGTCCTGATGAAATCCATCCGCAGGTCCTGAAGGAGCTGGTGAATGAAGTTGCTAAGCCGCTGGCCATCATATTTGAGAAATCATGGCAGTCAGGTGAAGTTCCTGATGACTGGAAAAAGGGAAATATAACCCCCATTTTCAAGAAGGGGAAAATGGATGACCCGGGGAATTACAGACCAGTCAGTCTCACCTCTGTGCCTGGCAAAATCCTGGAGCAGATTCTCCTGGAAGGCATGCTAAGGCACATGAAAAACAACAAGGTGCTTGGTGACAGCCAGCATGGCTTCACTAAAGGGAAATCCTGCCTGACCAATTTGGTGGCCTTCTATGATGGGGCTATGGAACTGATGGACAGGGGTAGAGCAGTTGATGTCATCTACCTGGACTTGTGTAAAGCATTCGACACTGTCCCACACGACATCCTTGTCTCTAAATTGGAGAGACATCAGTTTGATAGGTGGACCACTCGGTGGATAAAGAACTGGCTGGATGGCCACACAAAGAGTTGTGGTCAATGGCTCAATGTCTAGCTGGAGACCAGTAACGAGTGGTGTCCCTTTTCGGTGTTGGACCGGTCTTGTTACACATCTTCATCGCTGATATGGACAGTGGGATTGAGTGCGCCCTCAGCAAGTTTGCTGATGACACCAAGCTGTGTGGTTCGGTTGATACGCTGGAGGGAAGGAATGCCATCCAGAATGACCTTGACATGCTTGTGAGGTGGGCTGATGCCAGCCTCATGAAGTTTAACCATGCCGAGTGCAAGGTCCTACACCTGGGTCAGAGCAATTCCAGGCACAGCTACAGGCTGGGCAGAGAAGAGATTCAATGCAGCTCTGCAGAAAAGGACTTGGGGGTGCTGGTCAATGAGAAAATGAACATGAGCCGGCTTCAGTGTGCGCTTCCAGCCCAGAAAGAAACCGTATCCTGGGCTGCATCAAAAGGAGCATGACCAGCAGGTCGAAGGAGGTGATCCTGCCCCTCTACTCTGCTCTTGTGAGACCTCACCTGGAGTATTGTGTGCAGTTCTGCTGTTCTCAACATAAAAAGGACATGGAACTGTTGGACCAGGTCCAGAGAAGGGCCACGAGAATGATCAGGGGACTGGAGCACCTCCCATGTGAAGACAGGCTGAGAAAGTTGGGGCTGTTCAGCCTGGAGAAGAGAAGGCTGCGTGGAGACCTCATAGCAGCCTTCCAGTATCTGAAGGGGGGCCTATAGGTTGCTGGGGAGGGGCTCTTCATTAGGGACTGTAGTCATAGGACAAGGGGTAACAGGTTAAAACTTAAACAGGGGAAGTTTAGATTGGATATAAGGAGGAAATTCTTTCCTGTAAGGGTGGTGAGGCACTGGAATAGGTTGCCCAGGGACATTGTGAATGCTCCATCCTGGCAGTATTCAAGACCAGGTTGGACAAAGCCTTGGGTGATATGCTTTAGTGTGAGGTGTCCCTGCCTGTGGCAGGGGGGTTGGAACTTGATGATCTTAAGGTCCTTTCCAACCCTAACTATTCTATGATTCTATTTCTGCCTTTTGGGCAGAGGTGTTTGCAGGTAAAGGGTTAGCTTCTTTTACTTGTGAAGTGGTGGTAATGCCATATGCTGCTTTTCGTTCACCAGTTTTTATTTATCTCCTATCATCAGTATACCAAGAATCAAATCTGGTCCTCTCAAATATACAGTCTCTACAGTGGCCAAGCAGTCATGTGTTAGTGGTCCTGTTGGTTGTTCCTGCAAAAAGGATGCTGGATTGATGATCTTAATGTCCTTTCCAACCCTAACTATTCTATGATTCTATGATTCACAGCATTAGTGACCACAATTTCTATATCTTCGTGTTCCATAAGGATGGCCTGGTATTTTAAAAAACGTGAAGGAGATAACCAGTGGGCTCCTTTCTGTTCCAGGAACTGCTGATACAACATGGGACACTAGTACAATAATCTTCTGTCCCAAGCTGAATATGCGAGCCTCTTCAGTATTCATGAGAACTGCCGCCACAGCTCTTAGGCATCCGGGCCATCCTTTGCTCGCTTCATCCAGCTGTTTTGAAAAAATATGCCACTGCCTTTTTGTAGGGTCCTAGTTTCTGAGCAAGGACCCCCAATGCTACTATTTGTTTTTCATGAGAATACAGCCAAATGGGTTCATTTACATCTGCAAGTCCCAGAGCTGGAGATCTCATTAGCTCTGGTTTTGAATTTCTAAAAGCCCCCTCTGCTGAATCAGTCCACTCCAAAGAGGGAGGGTTTCCTTTCAACAGTTCATAGAGTGGTCTTACCAGAACACCATAATAATTGGCCAATGGTAAGCAAAAGAAAGCGTCCTTTAAATCCAAGACAGCCCACCATTTCTGATCATTATTCAATTTAGTCAATCAGTCATATGAATTAGCTACTACTGGACAAATATCCTCTGCAATTTTGTTGATTGCTCTGAGATCTTGAGCCAATCTGAACTTTTCCCACCACATTTCTTTACTGTCCAGATAGGAGTATTATATTCCAATTCACATTCAGTTAGTAATCTATACTTTAAGTTTTATCAATGATTTTTTGATTCCCTTTGATCTTCTAATTTTAAGGGATATTGTTTTATTCTAATTGGGCAACCCCTCCCCCCCCTTTTTATTTCCACTTTAACAGGCAAAGCATTTTTCGCCTTACCTGGAACTTCAGATGCCCATACTCCCAAATATACCTGATTCAGGTTTTCTTCTATTTCAGGGGGCTCCTCCTGTTTGCTTTTTGCTGAATTAAAGATAAACTCGAAACTGCAATTAATTGTTTTTAACTCTAAATTCCATCTTACCTTCTTTAAATGTTGCTTCTTGCTCTAATAAAGATTTTGAATAATTTGGCATGCATAAAAATTTCTGCATTCCTATTTGTTTTCCCAATTTGTACTTTAAAGGTTTCAGAAAGAAAGTCTCTTTTTTTTTTTTTCTTTCTCTTTTCCTTCATGGCCAGTAGCTCTCACATCTGTAACAAATTCTTTTCCTCTGATTTAACATCAAAAAAGTAATTCACTCTTGTTAGCAAGACTACTAACTTGTGTTATCACACCACAGGCTTACAATACAAACGTTCTCTATCTTAGACCTAAGTTAACTTAAAAGTATTTTAACCCTATGTTTTCCAGGCACTTGCTTTCCTTATATCACCAAGGTCAGCTCCCCCCGTGCTCGGACAACGGCGCGGCCTCCACCACCTGCTGCCGGAGCTCCTGAAGCTCTGTCTGCTCTCCTGGGCAGGGTGTCCAGTGTGGGATGTGGTGCCGGTGCTGCCGGAGGCTGTCCCTGCAGGCGAAGGGTCTCTCTCGGGGTACCTGTGGAAGGTTTCAGCTCTGCATGTGTGCTGGGAAGGCGCATCCGTGCCAGACCAACAGCAAATGCCCACCACAGGGGTAATGTAGACCCTTCATGGCAGGAGCTCGATGAACAAGACATGGCAGCAGCCAGCGCTTTCTAAGGAGAAAGCATCCAGAGGACACAAAGCAGAGCTCTGGAGCTTTGTAGGTGGACTGCCTGCCCTTCCAAGAGATGGGGACCCCGACAGGGCACTGCCAGGCTGCTGGAGTCTCCCAGGTCCCAAGAGTGGATGAAGGTTGAGCTTAGGCACGAACTTAAACCCTCAGCAATCACTTAAATCCATAGGGAGAGAGCATTCCTGAGCCATCTAAGATTACAAGACTGCATCGGGGCACCTGGAGAGGGAGGGAACCTCAGCAGAGAAACACTGCTGGTACCTCTGAACCCCTGTTCAGGTGGACAGCGGCTCAAACGTGGTTTTGTTCAAGGCTGCATCACCTCTCCCATGTGCTTTGTATTCCATTCCACAATGAGCAGCATATATGCAATGCCTCTGAAAGGAATTTTATGTGGGAATGATACTAAAACCATACAGGCACATTGGAAAGGCACTTCCAGAGCAGCTCCAGTCCCCTTGAAGAAGCACAGAAAGGATTGCTCTTGGATTTACCCCTTTGATACCTAAAAGCTGCCACTCCAAGTGTAATCTGGTAGAAAGGAAAGGCGCATAAGTCACAACTCTGCTTTACAGCATACCTCTATGGTGTAGATACACCAGCCCCTCCATGCGAGAAGGTACGTAAACATCTGCAGCACAGCTTTTCAGAATAAACCTATACAGGCTATGTTTTCAGGCAGCACACAAATGAACGCGGTGGTAGCTGCAAAGGATGACCCATAGTGCCACTGATCATTTCACTGTCACAGTGAATTTATAAGCAGTGTGTTCCAAAGGTCACTCAGGGCTCACATGGTGTATATTGGCAAGACAAGATTTGTACAATGCCAGTAACATACCTGCTCCTTTCTTTCGCTTAAAAAGCAAATCAGTACCTTAGTTGAAAAGTTGGGTTTGGTTTGCTTCTTCTGCAGCCTTGGAAGTGTTAAACAGAAGTATCAAAATATTTCTGATAGCTGTTACTACCCACTGGAAATAAAAATGAAAGCAATGCATTTTCCAAGACAAATGAGCCTGCATTAGGAAGGCAAGAAAACACATGAATGTATACAAACATAACTGGCTGGCAATACGACATCACTGGCACATGGCAACCCCAGTGCAAGCTTGGGAAGGCTGCCTTTGATTACGGAGGTGGTCTTAAGGCCGTAAAGGATTTTTAATCCTTTTCTCATCATCTGAGGAAAGTTTCAGAATTACAAGAGACATCTCAGTTTGTCAATGGCAGCAACAAGGAAGCACCGAGCCAAGCCCCCGCAAAGCAGTTACCTCCTAACCGTGACAGCACAGGTGTGGTATTTAAGTCATCTTTCTGCATTAGGCAGAGACTGCCCTGGTGCAAGCTTTAAGGATGACAAAGACAGGAGGATGGAGACACTTTCAGTGCCAAAAATTCACCGTTTTTTCATAACATACTAAACATTTTTTATGACACAGTGTTATTTGAATGACTGCAATTTACATCCACTGAACTGTGACACCGCATTAACTGAAGATGTAATAATTGATTACAAAAGCTTTGATTGTAAATGCAAGTTGTACCTAAAAGAGAGTTAAAAAGCTGGGAAGGGATCTTACTTATTTTCCCGTATTAAGACTGGTGAGTAGGACTGAAGTTTTTTCAGGGATAAAGTGTGTATTTGAGAGAGAAATACACGGTACACTGAGGGTAACAACATTTACTAGAATGTCAATTAAGGCGAGCCCTGTCCTTTTCACATAACAAAGTTGGCTCTTGCACAAGAAGGCGGGTGAGGAAAAGCGATGTGAAAGCCAGGCAAGAAAACTATGCCAAGTTCCTGACAATTCAGCACGTGGCAGAAGGCTTTGCTAGGATGTTCCCATACACACACTATACCTGCAATAGACCTGACAGAGAAGAGCTTCATCAGTGGCCACCCCTTTCCCCCCACCAGGAGCCCTCCCTCTGAGGCCAGACCAGACCCTTCCCACAGCCCATTCTCCCAGCAGATACCCCCCCTTTTCCCTAGTTCTCTCTTACCTTGGGGCTGCACAGCCTACATGAACTGGGCTCTCTCCCTGACTGATCTCTCCCACCTCTCCTCCCTGCAGGGTGCCCATGTCAACTCGTCTCCCTCCAGTTCTCTGCCTGGGGTTTCAGTTAGTAGAGGCACAGACTCTACTGCTCTCCACTAGACCCAGTTTTGCTGCTTAGAATGCACCCCCGACCTGTCATAAGACATTACTTATAATTTATCATTAGTATCTTACACATTGTTTATTGTATGCCATATAAATCAAATAAACTCAAAGATATATGGTATCAAAAATAAAAATATTGACGTGTTCCAAATATATAAATACTTTTAGAAATTCAGCTTCTTATTTTGAGGTCTTGAGTCCACTTTGTTCAGTAAGACTCTGCAGACTCAGAACTGCAAGAATGACAAAAGTCAGAAGACGCTGTGAAAATAAATACATAAAAGATGACAGTTTAGGGTCCAAGACTTCCCCAAGAGTCCCAGACAGTTTACAGCCTAAGATAAGTCAACTTTGGAAATGACACTGACCAGGTTTTCTGACTAGTCTGCAACATATTGCTGCAAGAGACACTCCAGGCTGACCGAGTGGGCATGCAGCCAGGCAGCATGAAACTGAAGTCAACCAGCACAGAATATCTAGGTATCCTGGGAAGCACCCTGCTCACTCTTCCCAAGTCTGAAGCCTCGACTTTCAGAGCGTGTGTGTGAATTCATTGTTTAAACTAACCTCCAAGACAACAGTCTTGCCTAAACCAGTGGGCATTCTGCAAAGGCAAGAGAGGCAGCTCACTGGAGCATAGTTCACCTCAAGGTTCATCTTTCTAACTGAGAAGCTGCCATCACATGAGTCTGCCCAGCAAATCATGGAAAACTGGCTCGCCTTGGCCAGGAAGGCACAAACACAACTGCCAAATGGTCAAAGCATTTCTGAACGGCAAGTAATAGGAGAGACTAAAAAACACCAACAGCTTGCTGCCAGCTTTAGCCAGATTGCTCCTTTCCATCACTGCTGGTACACTTTGATTAAACAGATTTACTGCACATATATATTTGATTAATCAGCTGTTGGAGTCCCCCACCCCTTTTCTAATGAGGAGAAACATCACACCCCTTGAGCTGGAAGGTCCCGTGCCTTACCCAATACTGTCTGTTCCACATTGTGTGACAGGACTCATCTGACATTATCAGCTGATGTTTCCCCATAGAGCAACATCTCCCTTTCTCGCCTCTCTGCGCTCTCCATTGCAGGTGGTATTGCTGGTTAGTGCTGGAGATGAGACAACCTGAAAGGCAAAACCAGAGAGGGGTTTTAGAGGGAAGCTGCCTTCATGAAGGGACGGGTCTGAAATGCTGAGCCATACAGCAAGCAGCCTCTGAGCTGCTCCACCAGGCACGGTGGTGAGGAGCAGCCACTGGCCATTTCCACAGCACAGCAGGCACTTTCAAGGAAGCAATCTTGTTTGTTCAGTTCAATTACCCCAGTGAACCTCAGCACTAACAGCACCCAGCTCACCAAATGTTAGCCTCAGAGGAGACCTACAACACAGCACACAGCATTTGGTTTCCCACTTCAGGATGGCTCCTGACTGAAAATGATCAGAGACCTCCACATTAGCTATCTGGACCAAAATTGTGAGCAAGCTGCTTTCCACTGGTGCTACCAAACATTTCATCCAATGCCAGACTCTGAGCAGAGATACTTCTTTTGCACAGTGGTACAGAGCTTTCCCTAGAGGAAAGCAGTGGTGAATTAGGGCAGGAGTCAGGCAGCTCACAGCGAGACAAACACCTTCACTGCAATGGAGTATACACAGAGGAACTTCCAAAGCAGGGACAGATTTCACTGCTCTGCCTTTTCTGGGCTGTGCTGCATGTGAGGAGTCAGAATGGATGCTGCAGATGGCTCCTGCTACCACTCACACTCTCCTCTCCTGCCTAGCAGGGTTTACTTCAAACCCCAGAAGTAACTGAGTTCTCCCTCCTCTTCTGCAAAAGGAAACAAACAAAAAAATCTCCATGGATGTAGCAGGACACCCAAAGACCTACCCAGAAGCAGGAGTGAGACACCGGGCTTATAGCCCAGTTTCCTCTTCAGCAGAAATCCACCCACCTCATTTACAAAATAGACCTGTAATCAGCTTTGTGCAGAGCAGCACCATCACCTTACAGGCAGCCTTGCCAGATCAACAAGGAACTAAGCTGCTTCCTGGCTCTTGGAAAGCACTCACTGTAAGAGAGCCAGCCCTCACACTCTCCCATTTGAGGTCAGCCCCCTCAGGGCTAGAAGAGCAGGCAGGCAGCTGCAAGTTCACCAACCTCAGCACAGGGCCAGCACCAGCACACCAACTGCTGGCTCCCAGCTCACATGGAGCACCCCAGCTATACATTAACTGCCCTCTGGCTCACTGGACAGCAAGCACCACACCAGTTCTGCAAACTTGTCACAGCTCCAAACATCCACCATGGGGAAGGGAAACTGAAGCACAGAGGCAGAACCTGCCCAGGCTGAGCCAGGAGCTGGTTGTGGGCCCAGAGGAACAGCCTGCCTGCCTCACAGCACAGCCAGCCTCCTGCCAGCACAGCTGCACAAGTCCTGGCAGCATCCTGGCTTCCTGCGCAGCTGGCTTCAAGTCAGGCACTCCTCAAGAAATGCAGATCCCAAAAGTAAACTAGAGAAAGTGGTTCCAATTTATCTTATACTTCGAGACAGGCAGAGTCCTGCAGGTAGATGCCATGGGGTATCTGCTGGGCTCTCAGAAGCATTTACCCAAAGGTGTAACAACCGTTGCAGAAGCACAATTCAGAGCTGTGAATTACTTTTCCAGCAGCAGTGTCTGCTGCTGGAAGAAGGGGTTAGCACACAAACAGTCATTTAAGAACTTTGGTGCAGTCAGACTTGTATCTCCCACAACTGTTTTTGCAGATCCTCCATCTGACATGATCACCTCTACAGTGATAGCCAGGACAGTGACACCACCAGTCCCTTCAGCCCAAGGTGAGGACACTACATACACAGGACAACATGGAAGCTGAGATTTTTCCCAGTGCCATCCAGCATAGACATGATGAGCCATGAATTCAGGAGACAAGTCAGCACAAATCAAACCCCTGTCCTTTTCAGTACTAGGGTATCACATGAGAACTCAGAGGAAGCGTAGTAAAAATCACGGTATCCCTTACCATTACACATCCCTTTTATTCAGAAACTGGTAGCTGAAAGCCCACAACATGGTCACTGCTCAGGGCCCTCATTTCTCATGGTTTTGCTCCCCTGGAAGAGGCCATGTCCTACTCACCGAAGAATGGGGTTGATTGAAGACTAGGGTTGTAAACAAGTAACCTCACAGATATGAGGCTTTATTAGCAACTACAGAGAAAAGGAAATTATTAAGATAAGCTTTGCCAGAACCGCCTGATGGTTACTGATGACTGATATGACAAGGATCCTAAAAGAAAGTGATGAAGAAATAACCACCAGGAGTCTGAAACCACACTATCACATTTTGTAGGCATACAGGAGGCATTCTCTCAAAGTATGATGTAATGTATGTAATCTAAGGAATATGCATGTTTAAGGACAATATAATCACAGCCTGATTGATGCTTGGTAGAGACACACTTGGAGGAGCTATCCCTCGTGTCTCCCGCTGCCGCAATAAAGAATACCTGCTTGTCAGGTTGAAAACTTTGTTGAGAAGTTCCTGGAGCTTTTTCCGAATCGATATCGCACCTCAGATGTGACCCTCTGTGCTCGGCTGCAGGACCCGCTGAGGACAGGGCTCCCTAGGGCCTTCAGGAGTTTTTCCTGGAAGGACCCCTTGACTCATTTGGATCACTGTGGGAGCAGACAAGGACCATCTTCATAAAGGGTATTCTTTTCTTTTGTATAGTCTGTAAGGTGCAGGGGGCATCTTGCATAAAGACTAAATTGGTAATTGGGTAGGGTTGGTGAGCGTACGCAAGGTTTGGAAGCCTTCTGTAAATCGAGATAGGAAATCTCACAGATAAAGGCATATACATGGCTGCTAGCTTCCGTTTGGTATGCACCCACAAGAAGCAGGGGACATCTTGTGGTTTGGGTCCTACAAGACGCAGTGGGTGTCTTGTGGGAACGGTTTATGGATTTTACTGGTATTTGACTTATATTGTGGCTTCTTATAGTTATGATTTTGGTCTTGTGATTTTGGTATTGGTGAGAGGCTGTTATAACTGCGTTACTAATTGTTATCTGTTTCAAATGTTGTAATTGTGTGGAGTGTGTCTGTTTTGTGGCTTGTTACAGTGATGATATTGGTCTTGTGATTTTGGTATTGGCGGCAGGATGTTATAACTGTTAGTTGTTGCTGTTCAATACAATTTTAGTCTCTGTCTCAAGTGTTGTAACTGTGTGGAGTTTGCCTGTGGGATCGTGTGTGTGTGTGTGTGTGTGAGAATGCAAGATTGATAATGGGAAATCTGCAGAGTGAAGAGATCTTGAAAAAGAGTCCTTTAGGGTGCATTTTGGCACACTGGAAAGAACTGGGAGGGTTTCCTGGGGGCTCAGTAAATAAGAAAATACTGATGAAATATTGTAACCGATGGTGGCCGTTGTATACCCTGGAGGATCAGGAGAAATGGCCAAAAAACAGAACTCTGAATTATAAAACATTGTTGCAATTAACGTTATTTTTAAGGCAACAAGGAAAATGGGATGAAGTGATGTATGCAGATATGTTTTTTACGTTAAGAAACCACCCAGAGTGGCAGACAGAATGTGAAATTAATATAGCTCTGCCAGATCCCTAATTTTGGCTTTAGAAAAGGACGGGGAAAACAGAAAGCTAAGCTGGAGAGATGTTGTTCAGCCTGGGATATTGGGGGAATGATGTTTAAAGTTAAAAAAAAAGAAAACAGAAACAAGACAGAGTAATCGGGAAGATAGGTTGGGGGATTACGTATCACAGGTACCTCCGAGAGGAGCACTCTCGGCACTTGCCCCATCTGTTATTGATAAGGAGGAAGAGGTTGCTGTCACTGGCAACAGAGCAGGAGGATGTGAGAATGTTAAAAAAGCATGGAGAGTGTACAGGAATCGGGAACAGATAGAGAAGAGAGAGCTGACTTGTGCTATAAGCATGGCTACAGTGGCTGCTTTGGGACAAGTAGAAACTGGTGGAGGAACTAATGCAAGAGGACGAGGCAGAGGTAGAGGAGGAATGTCAGGCAGAGGTGAGAGAAAGAATTCTCCTGTGGGATGGAACCAGTGTGCATACTGTAAGGACTTTGGCCATTGTAAGTGAGACCGCCCTGGGGGAAGCTCCATGGTGTGGCTCTGGTGACTGAATTGGAACTAGACTGGCAGGCACCTAGGGAATCTACCCTAGCAGATCCACACACTAAATTAAAACTAGGGACTAGAGGAAATAAAGTGGAATTTTTAAGTGAATACAGGAGCAACCTTTTAGACGTTAAATCAGAGGAAAAGAATTTGTTACAGATGTGGGAGACACTGGTCACCAAAAACCCAAAACAACATAAAACAACAAGCACAAAAAAAACAACCTCAAAAAACCAACCCACATTCTTTCTGAAAGCTTTAGAGTATAAACTGGGAAAACAAATAGACATGCATAAATTTTTATGCGTGCCAAATTCTCTGAAAATCTTTATTAGGGCAAGAAGCAACATTTAAAGAAGGCAAAATGGAATTAAGAGTCAAAACCAATCAATTAATTGGAGTTTTGGGTTTATCTTTAATTCAACAGAAAAGCAAACAGGAGGACCTCCCTGAAATAGAAGAAATCCTTAATCAGGTATATCTGGGAGTATGGGCATCTGAAGTTCCAGGCAAGTTGAAAAATGCTTTGCCTGTTAAAGTGGAAATAAAAGGGGGGATGCCCAGCTAAACAATATCCCTTAAAATTGGAGGATCAAAAGGGAATCAAAGAAATCATTAAAAAAAATATGGATTATTAATTGAATGTGAATCAGAATATAATACCCCTATCTTGCCAGTAAAGAAATCCAATAGAAAAAGTTAGAGATTAGTTCAAGATCTCAGAGCAATCAACAAAATTGTGCAGGATATTCATCCAGTAGTAGCTAATCTAAATTGAATACTAATCAGGAGTTGTTTACTGTTCTGGACTTAAAGGATGCATTTTCCTGTCTTCCCCTGGCCAAAGAAAGTCAGAATTTATTTGCTTTTGAATGGGAAAACCCTGAAACAGGAAGAAGGACACAGCTCACTTGGACAGTGTTACCTCAGGGATTTAAAAACAGTCCAACACTTTGGGAAATCAATTGGCACGAGAATTAGAATCCTGGGAAGCACCCACCTAGACAGGAACTTCACTACAGTATGTGGACGACCTGTTAATTGCTACCAAAACTGAGAGAAAATGTGTTCAGGGGACTGTCAAATTGTTAAACTTTCTGGGGCTAAATGGATACCCGGTATCTAAATCGAAGGCTCAACTAATTCAAACTCGAGTATCTTATTTAGGATGCAAAATTAACAGGAAGACAACCAGAACTTGGAGCAGCTTGGAAGGAAGCAATCTCTCAAACACCGTGACCTTCCACAGTTAAAGATATTCGGACATTTCTGGGAATGACAGGATGGTGTCAGCCCTGGATCCATGATTGTGGTGTTCTGGTTAGACCCTTATATGAGCTGCTAAAAGAAAATTCAATCTTTATAAAATGGACAGATCAAGCTGAAGAAACGTTTAAAAGTTTAAAGACAGAACTCATGAGTGCTCTAGCTCTGGGGATCCTGGACATAACTAAACACTTTTGGCTATATTCCTACAAGAAACAGGGTGGGGTTTCTCAGCCTTGGGGGTTCTGCAGGAATGCAGGTATGACTGATAAGACAACGATCCTAAAACAATGGGATGAAGAAATAACCACCAGGGGTCCAAAACCCCACTACCACATTTTTGTAGGCATACAGGAGGCATTCTCAAGAAGTATGATGTAATGTATGTAATCTAAGGAACATGTATGTTTAAGGACAATATAATCACAGCCTGGTTGATGCTCACCAGAGAGACGCTTGGAGGAGCTATCCCCCGTGTCTCCCTGTGCTGCAATAAAGAATACCTGCTTGTCAGCTTGAAAACATTGTTGGCGAGTTCCTGGAGGTCTCTTTGAATCATCAACAAGAAGGAGGCTCGAGCAGCTGCCCACTTCCACTGCAGAGGCTGGAATGTCATTTCATTTGGTGCATGAGCTCTGCTCATCAAAACCTGGCTGAATGTTCAGGGTAAACACATACCTTCCTGGTGCCCTACCAGTAGCCTCCTGGGAGGAATTCAACAGCTACAAGAGGCAGGACAGTGGGGCTTGAGACTGGAGACAAGGCTTGGTACAAAACATCTCAGCACTCCAGACATTTATTTCCCAAAAACAGTGTTCAAACCCTCTGAGAAAACATCCCTATCTCATCTAGCCAGCACTTAGTTTGCCCCTGACACATTTCCACAGTAAGTTTCACACTCAAGATGCACAGCCATCCTTCTCAGGGTAGGAAGACACTTAATCCCAACAATCCAGTGCCTTTTGAACAAAGTAGAAACTGCTGTGGCAGGGAAACAGGACTGAAGCCCTGGCTTTGCTTTGGCACCCTTGAGAGAAGGTCAGTAATCTGCAAACACCCAGGTGATAGAGAGTTCAAGTTTGCTGTTCAATCAGTTTAAAACTTCAGGCTATTTCCCTACATGCAGAACGTGCATCCTTGCTTTAACAAGCAGCAGAACGTGGCTGCACCTACTGAAGCATAACCTACCCAAGCATAACTGCAGTGGAGACAAACCCCAGAACCACAGTCCTAGCAGCTTGAAGAGCCATCACAAAGGTAACCTGGCACTCACATCAGAAGAGCTTCACACCTTCTCCTCCTCCCCTGGGGAGGTTGTTGGGGCTGGAAATGGGGCCTCAGAGAGTAAGTATTACACGGCATGAACCCACACACAGTTGGGGAAGACAACGTGGCGGAGCTCAACAAACATCTATTGCACAGGGTCATTGTGAGCGGTACCAGCCATGGGAGCTGACCCTGGAGGTGACCCAGTTCCAGCCCTGCTGGGGCAGGGGCACCCGAACATGTCCAGGCAGGGCTTGGATATGCCCAGAGATGGAGCATATGATGCGCAGCCTGTTCAGTGCTCTGCCACTGCAACGGAACAAGTTCTTCCTCGTGTGGAGGTCAAACCTCTTCTGTTTCAGTTCATGGCCACTGCTCCTCATCCTGGGGCTGCCCACCACTGAAAGGAGTTGGGCACCTTCCTCCTGGCACCTGCCCCAAAACCTCCAATCAGCTCCCTCCACCAGCTCTCCCCTTCTTCATCTCTGAGGGCTCACTCTCCTAGGAAGAAACTGCTTCTGCCCTCCACAAGCAGGATGGTCAAAGGGAGGGGGAGACACCAGGGTTTGCTCACAGGGTATCAGACCCCACTGCTCCCCACACTCACCCCACCTAGGGCTCCCCAATCCTTGTGGATCTGCTGGTGCCGGAAGAGCGTTGAGCTCACTCTGAAGCCCTTTCCGCACTCAGCACAGACGTAGGGACGCTCCCCGGTGTGGATGCGTTGGTGCCGGATGAGGTGGGCACTCTGCCGAAAGCTGTCCCCGCAGTACGTGCAGATGTAGGGTCTCTCCCCAGTGTGGATCAGCCGGTGTTTCATGAGCGTGGAGCTGTGGCCGAAGCTCTTCCCACAATCCATACACCCATAGGGTTTGTCCCCAGTGTGGATCCGTTGGTGTCGTCTCAGGGCTGAAGTCGAGCTGAAGGTCGTCCCACAGGTCCTACACTCATCGGGTTTCTTCGCAGTGTGCACCCACTGGTGCTGGACAAGGTTCAAGTACTCAGAGAAGCTCTTCCCGCACTCAGCACACTTGTGGGGATTCTCCCTGGTGTGGGTTACCTGGTGCCGGATAAGACTTGAACTCACGCAGAAGCTCTTCCCGCAGGTCCTGCATTCGTACGGTTTTTCCCCAGTGTGCACCCACTGGTGCTGGACGAGCTTTGAGTTCTCGGAGAAGCTCTTCCCACACTCAGCACACTTGTAGGGCTTCTCCCCAGTGTGGGTTACCTGGTGCCGGATCAGCTTCGAGGTCTCTCTGAAGCTCTTCCTGCACTCGGAGCACTCGTAGGGCCGCTCCCCTGTGTGGATCCTCTGGTGAAGGATGAGATATGACCGGTACTGGAAACTCTCCCCACATTCGGAGCAGGTCAATGCTTTTTCGCTGGTGTGGATTCTCTGATGCTGGATGCTCTTCCCACAGCCCCCATCTATCGTCAGTCTCCCCATGGAAGGGTTTCTCTGCTGGATAACATCCGGCAGCATCCTGAAGCTTTTTCCACACAGTGTCACTTGGTTTTGCCTCTTCCCCAGAGATCGCTGAATCCTTTCTGACCTGCGTGGGAGAACAGGGTTCTGTGCAGGCCTCCGGGAACTGTTCTCCTCAGAGAGTCCTGAACATAAATCCTTGGACTCCACTGGCCTGGGGATGCCTTGATGGTCATTCTCTTCATTTGTGCTCACAATCCCATCTTCAGCTGCAATAAAATGAGAATCCAGACAAGTCACAGGCAGGACTGGAAGCTTTGGACAGGGCAAATCCCAAGTGGCCAAATGCTAAAAATTCAGCAGATAGATTGACTTTAAGTATAAAACATTCTGGTATATCCTGCGTTCAGGACATGGTATTTCCCTCCAAACTACACCGTGGAATTTTCAGAGTGTTCCCAGGATCAAATGCTGTAAATCACCCAGCATGCTTCACGTGACCTGAGTCTAGTGAAATCCCTGGCGTATTGGAGGCAAATGTTTACTGCTTGAATGGGAAAGATGCTAGCTCTTCCAGGATGTTGCACCTGAAAATCATAAAACCACAGGATAGTTTTACCTGGAATGGACCTTACAGATCACATCCAGTTCAAGCCTCCTGCCATGTGCAGGGACACCTTGCACAAGACCAGATTTCTGCAAGCCCCTTCCAACCTGGCCTTGAACACTGCCAGGGATGGGGCAGCCACAGCTCCTCTGGGCAACCAGTGCAATAAAGGAAGAAGAGTCTAGAAGTTCGACCACAGACTGATATATGTACATATTTCATTATCCTCTTACAAGGAAGCAAAAGAAAACATCACAATATGATTTCACAGTGAACTTCTAAGATACCTTCTGTGGCAGCTTGCTGTGGTAGTGATGCCACTTCTTACCTCACATGGTTTTCATTAAAACCATCCCTTGAGAGGAACAGAAACTGCAATTTTACTGTTTACCATGAAGGTATTTCCATTTGCCTGTAGCTACTCCAGCCAGGCCTGGAGGAAAAGAGCAAGGTGATAGCCACAGACAGGATGGAAAGAAGATGTTTCTGGCAGGACAGCATAAAGCTATTGACCTGTTCGTCAGACTTACTGAGTAGACAGTGGAGCTAGCAAAGTTGTTCTGTTGCCGTTGTGCCCAAAGAGATGCTAACTTTGGCACTTACACAGAAGTTTGGTTCTTTACACAGACCTTGAAAAAGCCTTCAGAAGTACATGACAATTAAGTTTTCTATGGTGTTCTGTACTTTTGGGGGAAGATCAGGAGTGTCAAGATTCTTTTTACAATTATTGTCATGGCTCTAGCGCTTCTACAATCATTTCTGTTACTTCTCAGCTACTATGTACTTTCACTGGCATCTAGGACATGCTGTCGCTAAAAGGTTTGATCAAAACCAAAACAGGAGCTTACTGCAAGTATTTCAAGTGGAAGAAGAGCAAGGTCACAATGATGAGGATTTAATATTAGAAGCATAAGGCTGAACTGGCAAAAATGAATAAGCAAGAGAGACATGAAGAATGTGGTTCTTCCTCAGCCCATGCCAATTTAGGTTGATGGCAAGACCTCTGATATGCCCAAGACTGCCAGTGCTATAGCTACAAGGCAAGATCCAGGTAAGCAGAGAAAAGGGATATATGGGGTCCAGAAGCATTCCCGAAAGACATTCATCCTTCACCAAAACTGGTAAAGAAGCTAAGCTGCTGAGGCATGAATGAACCTGACAGGGTGGAAAGGAAGGGAAAAGGGAGGTGGAAACATTTGCTGACGATTTTGTGTTCCTCAGGGCTAAAAACACACAGGCTGACTACAAACCGTGGCAGAGCCTTGAGATACTGACCAACCAGGTGACAGGGGACGGTCACTGCAGCTAAACAAAGACCTTCAGAGGAGAACAGCCTCTACAGCATGCACTTACACCAGGCTGGGCCTAGGATGTTCTTGATATCATTCAGGAATAGCACCTTGGAGTCTGAGCAGCTGGATGAAAACTGCAGCTCCTAGGCACACAACACAGCCAGTCAAGCATCAATGAGTGCTGGGGGGAAAACAATAGGGAAGAGAAGGTAATTCTGCCTTGCAGCTCAAACCCCACATTCTGACTGTGTGCAAGGGGGAGGACGGATCCCCCATGTCAGAGACACTCTGACAGAGCTGAGGAAGACAGAGGCATGACAGGAACCATCAGAGGCACAGAACAGATCCTGTATAGGAGAGGAGTCAACTGCCCATTCTGCTGGGAAAAGGTACAGCTGATAGGGGTATCACAGAGGACTGTAAAAACACAAGTGGCCTGTGGGGGGGTTTGGCATCTATCCTGCACCATCTGTTCTAAATTAAGAACTCCTGCCAGCAGTAAAAGGCACTTTCAAAGCAAACTAAAGGAGGCAGCAATTCATAAATCACCTAAATAAGCTGGGGAACTCCTTGCTGCAAGCTGCCATGGATGCTACAATGTGCGCAGCTTGAGAAGGCAAGAAGAGAGATCTTGAGACGTTATGTGCCTAGTTCAGGAGCTTCTGAAGCCACAGATGCCTCAGGCCTGTGAAAGGATACAGGGACACATCACTTTTCCCAGTGAGAACACCCAGCCATTGCAATAATCTCCCCAGGGAAAAGGTGCACTCCCCACTGTTGGATGCTTTAAAGACTCAGCTGGACAGGGCACTGGGACATCCAGTCCAGGTCATGCTTTGCCTGGAAAAGTTGTACTGGATGATCCTTGAGATCCCTCCCAGCCTGGTGGCCTGTGGTGCTATGAATACCGTTGTCACAGGCAGCAGGTGAAGCTGGACAGGCCCTGCTCCAACCCAGCACCGCCGCCCTTGTACATTCTGGGGGCGCTGGTGCTCCCGCAGCACTCTTTCTCATGACGGGTTCACACTCATGGCCCTTACCTGAGGTGCCGCTCAGAGCACTCTTCCCTTCGCAGGAGCGGGGCCGGGACAACCGCAGTTCCTCCTTCTGATCCATGTGCATGAGCATCTCCGGCTCCGCTCCGGGGGCCTGCTCCGGGGAAAGAAACGAAGAGGGTCAGGCGAGCTGGCCTTTCACCGACCGCTACCAGCGGCGCGGCTCGGGAGCTAGCGGCTCCGCGCCGAGCAGGCACCCCGGCTCCAGGAGGCGTGCAGAGGAGAGCAAAGGGCCCCGCAGCACCCCCTGCCAGGGAAGCTCACGCGGCCGCGGTGGGCGGGCTTCCGGGCCAAGCCCTACCGGGTCAGGCCCCGCTCCCTGCGGCCCGGCCAGGCCCGCCCTCAGCGGCTGGACCGGCGCACCAGGGGGCGCTGCCCCGTGACGGCAGCGACCAACGGCGGGCGCTGCCTTCGCCTCCAAGGCCGGAGGAAGGTGGCGGCGCTGGGCTGCCGGTGGCGATGGTGCCGTCCTACGGCTTCAACAGAGAGTTGAAGTACTTTTTAGTTTAACTTAGGTCGTAGAAAGAGAACAATGTTTATGTTGTAAGTCTGTGGAATGTAGTGGCCCCACTTAACATGAGTTAATTGTTTCACACTAGTCTTCTAAAGTATCTTTATCTTTAAAGAACAATGTTTGTGTTATAAGTCTGTGGCGAAATAACAGGATTTAGTAGCCCCACTAAATATAAATGAGTTATTTCACACCATCCTTCTACTTACCAGTTAGTTTAGAGACAGAGCCTCCCAAACCTCTGCTAGCTTGGGATACTCCTTGTCTGCCCATCCTGCAATAAATTTTGCAGGAAGGTCACACTGTTTTAAATCCTTGGTAGCTATCAGAAGAATCACAGATATGGCTGGTTTCAGGTAGTTGTGTGATTCCTGGGACGTCCAACTGTGCCAAAGGTGAAAAGTGCACTGTGAGGAACACTGCTTACTGCATCCTGAAGACCCCTACTCACAAGAGGAAGACTGCTTACTTCACCATCAAGACCCCTGCCCACAATCATTGCAGAGCAGTGTGCAGACACCAAGAGGAGGAGACTTAGGATAATAAGTTCCTGGAGCTAGTTATAATATTCCCCGCCTATACGCAGGCATTATGAATATGTATATGGCTAATGCAGTAGCGAAAGTATATAAACCCATAACAAATACTAATCACTTGCGCCTCTGGCTACGGTCATGCGCCCAGTGCTGTTGCTTTTGCTTTATTGACTTTGTCCCTCAATAAAACCTTGTTATCTTGTTTAGAGGAGTGAGTTTGTAATTCACATTTATAATATTCTGGTAAATCCCCCCTCCAGGGTCCCCTGCCTTTCCCAGTCTGGTACATCTCTGCTCTATACTACGTGCCGATCAACATCTCTTTCTTTAACTTCTCTTTTCCTTCCTTCCTATTACCCATCTCCAGAGCCAACACCATTGGTATTGCGGAGCCTCCAGCCCACATTCCGTCTGCCATTCAGGACGGTTCTGGAGGGTAAAGGACATCTCAGCATATGAAACTTCATCCCATTTTCCTTCTCATCTCAAAAATAATATTAATTGTAATAAGGTATTATAATTCAAAATTCCATTGAAGGGCCACTTTTCCCCATCTTCCAATTTATATGAAGGCCACCACTGATTACAATATCTGATCAAGGTTTTTTTATTCACACTTCCTCCCGGTGGACCCCCTGTATCTTTCTAATGAGTTAAAATGCAACCTAAAGGGCTCTTTTGAGAATTCCCCCACTCTGCTGTCCTCCCATTGTAAGCCTTTAAAGATATACGACACGGTTAGCCCTACAACAATAATATCTTAGCCACAGTAAAAGGTATAATGGAGTGCTGCACCCACAACGGATACACCCTAATTCCAAACAGTTCTGTAAATAAACCGCTTGTCTACCACCAAAAGAGATAATATATTTTGAACAAGCAGGACACAATATTTGTATTTGTTGTTATTTTGTATTTGTACTTTGTTGTTTGTATTTGGAAATCCAAACAACAGCGATGACAGATAGGGCAAGGGCTGGTTCCAGCCCTGCGCCTGGGAGCTTGATCACTACTCTGACAGTTAACCCCAATATTGCTCTACTGGTTCCTCAGTTCTCCCAGGTTTCCACAAACTACTCGTACTAACTCACCCGAACGTTCAATCCAGTGCCAATCAGACCAATTTCCCAGGCAATTAACACACCAAAAATCCTGACTAAATTTCACTGATACTTTATCCTCACAAACAAACCATTCAAAGATGAAAACTGGATCACACACAATATCACGATGGATAGGACACCAAAACTCAACAATAGGTTCAATTTCATGAGACATACACGTTTCCTCCCTCTCTGGCCACTCTCCTTGCAGTGAACACGGAACTGTGGATTAGGACTCCACACTTGCTTCGTAGCTATGGCAGGTCTCACTCACACAAAACACTCATTCACACAAAGGACCGCCTCTCAATCACCCACTTCACATGGAATGTTGTCTAAGCCAGTAATTGGTAACACATAAATTTTATGCCAGTGTTTACCCACCAAAGGTTTGTGAAGCCGTTAGCACAGTGATCCTTGTATCCATACCCTAAAAAACCAATGCAACCCAACCCAACCCTTGGGGTGAGCACCTGCCCTCTTTACCTCACATAGGACATCTCCTCACAACTTACAGGCATACCCTTGACCTAGTTCAAACATAGCTGATGATTCACTAGTGATGGTCCTTGTCTGCCCCTGCGGTGATCTGAGTGAGTGGGGGAGTCCCCCCAGAAAATCCCGGGGGTGCCCAGAAGAGTCCCATCCTCAGCAGGTCCCGCAGCCGGACAGAGATTGTCCCATCTGGGGTGGAAAACTGAAGCATGGATTCAAACTCTATAACTCAAGAGTTATGAAGCAGGTGTGTTTATTACGGCGCTGGGTGAAAGGAGGAATGCTCCTCCTAACTTGCACACTGAGGGCTTAAGCAAGCAGATATGTATTACAAACATGCATTTTCATTAGGTTCCCAAGAGTTTGATGGGGATATTACAATTACGTTAGGAACTCATTATGATAAGTATCCTCCCTTTTGGTGCTTGCGCAGTGCCCTCCAATGGTCATCTTCAAGATGCAGTAAGTGGTCTTCCTCATGGTGCACTTTTCACCTTTGGCAGAGTGGGATGCCCCGGCAATCACTAAATTAGCTGAAACCAGCGTATCTGTAAGTTTCTGACTGCTGGCCAGGATTTAGACCAGTGTGACCTTTGTACAAAATTTATGGCAAGCAGAACAGGATGAGCAGACAAGGAATATCCTAAGCTGGCAGGTGTTCAGCAGTCACTGTCTTCAATCTAAATGATAATTAGAAGGATGGTAAGAAATAATTCACTCATTAGAAGGATGGAAAGAAGTAATTCACTCTTGTTAGCAAGACTACTGAATTCTGTCATCACACCACAGGCATACAACACAAACATTGTTATCTATGTTAGAACTAAGTTAACTTAAAAGTATTTTAACCCTATGTTTTCCAGGCACTTGCTTTCCTTATATCACCAAGGGCAGCTCCCCCCGTGCTCAGACAACGGCACAGCCTCCCCCACCTGCTGCCGGAGCTCCTGAAGCTCTGTCTGCTCTCCTGGGCAGGGATGTGGTGCTGGTGCTGCCGGAGGCTGTCCCCGCAGGTGAAGGGTCTCTCTCGGAGTACCTGTGGAAGGCTTCAGCTCTGCATGCATGCTGGGAAGGCTCATCCGTGCCAGACCAACAGCAAATGCCCACCTCAGGGGCAATGTAGACCCTTCATGGCAGGAGCTCGATGAACAGCACATGGCAGCAGCCAGCGCTTTCTAAGGAGAAAGCATCCAAAGGACACAAAGCAGAGCTCTGGAGCTTTGTAGGTGGACTGCGTGCTGTGAAATAGGAGCTCACTCCTCTAAATGAGGTAACAGGGTTTTATTGAGGGACAAAGTCAATAAAGCAAAAGCAACAGCGCTGGGCGTGTGATGGTAGCCAGGGGTGCACTGATTAACGTTTGTTACAGGTTTATATACTTTCACTATTGCATTAGCGATATTCATAATGCCCGTGTATACCTGGCACATTTGTTAAATCCCCCATTATTCTGACCTGTGATATGGTGTGTAGGATTCACGGGTATGCCACATGTTATAAAGGTTCAAGTGACTTCCAGTCAGACTAATCTTACTGAAATAATGCTGCCTGGAGTAGTGGGTGGTTATGTTAATTACAGAGGTCAAGTAGTGATAGAGAAGGCACACCAAATTGTTAAAAAAACCCACCAAAACGCAACAAACTTTTAGTAAAAGAAAAATGGGGGAATGACAGGGGAGACCCCAAATGCATGAATCAATAAAGCATTGTTTGTCTTAAATTTTCTATATTATACAGTTATGATTTACAGATGGGCACAAATGTCCCCCCAGTGATTAGGCATTTTTCTGCAATAACCCATGTAGGCTCAGATCTGATACCAGGGGAAGAACCCTTTATAGTAACCATAATGTCTTTGGAAAATCATAACTGGGAAGGTCCTTATAAGTTAATAACTTGGGGAAGAGGCTATGCTTGTGTTCTCCACAGGTCGACGAGCCTGATGGATCCCCACGTGATGTACCCGTCCATTCATACAAACAACGGCTGCAAATGAAGATAGATCCCGATTCATTGCTGGTTTGAAGTTAACCCGTGGGAACTGTACAAAGTTAACCAGTCTCTTTTTGGAGAACCAGTCAACGGAGAACGCATCTGTGCGCGCGCATATCACAACTGGACTTTCCTGCCACTAGTAATAGAGTGGGAACATTTAAGCCTGGAAAGGGTACCACTGGATAACAGGGTTGCTTTGAGACAGTGATTCTATGAGGCACGCCTCACTATGGAACAGAAATGCTGTTGATTTTTATTGTTAGCTCAAGACCATGGGTGTGAAGATTTTGATGGTATGTGCTGCATGAATCTATCAGATCATCCATAAAAGCATTCTGGACTTAATAACAAGGACAGCACACCTTCAGGAAGATAAGGGACTGAATTGGTTGAACAAAGCGTTTTCTGGCTTGAGCATTACA